GCGCACCGTCTAACGCCGGTCCCGTTAAGTAAAAGCCTTTCTTATGAGGCGTTTCACATTCTAAGGTTTTGCATATGTCGAGCAACGAGACTACGTTCGCATCCTTGTCTCGAAAATATACTTCGCATTGTGCTTTGGCAGTCCATTCTCTTCCGGGTAAATTTTGATACCGCGAATGGTCAAATACGTCTTCGAGATTTTTCGTACGATCTCGAAGACATGGTTTTGTGTGCCATAGTCTGCTAGCTATATAACGACTACATTCGGACCATGTTGCTTGGCCTTGATAGAATTGGTAAAATGACATTATATTTTTGTATGTTTTACATGGATTTTTATAGTCGGAATCGAGCTCCATTCCTAAACTTTAAAAGAAATAAATTATTAATTTGGACAATATGCATTACTTTGCATTCTTTATTCTAAATATTTTTATATTATGTTTTATTAATTATTAACACAAGAAACATTTTAAAGAACAAATCTCCTAAAAAATTTCTTTACTTTCTGCTTATAAATTGTACAAATAAATAAATTTTTATAAAATATATTATTTTTATTTAATTTATACGCAAAACTATTATAAACTTACAGATGGCCAATTTTACGAGCAGCAATGAAAGTTGATGCAAAACCTGAAGATAGATAATAATCAATACCAAATTCTGCTATCGCACACGAATCGAATGTTTTGCAGGCTCCGTCCTGGAAGGTTATTCCCTGGGTTAAACGTGTCGTCGAATATATGTCTATTCCGGTTAGATAAAGACCAATGTCCCAGTGATGTGGATCATTGTCGTCCACAGGATTGCGAGTTTGTGCGTAATCGCAAAATGAATCGTGCAGTTTGGTAGCGTGTCCGCCAAAAACTGGCAAATTTGACGGTTGTTTTTTCATAATTTTTAAATATACCAACGAAATATCGATAGAAACACCCAAACTCGGATGATGGAACATAGCTTGGATATTATTCACATACGCTAATATCATCATATGCAACATTTGCTCATCGTTGTCCAGAAATGGCATGAAGGTACGATATGCGGCTTCGTCGAAGAAAACAGCCAGTTCCATAGTTAATTTTTCTTGTGTATTTCGTACATAACGCCGCTTCAGTTTAAAATTATCCAAATTGTGAAAACTTGTGTCTGCAGATAATTGCAAAGATCTTTTAATTAGGTGAGATTTGCCAAATGAAATGTTAATTTCTTCTTTAACGCAAAAATCGTTGGTTAAGGACGAAGACGCCAAGTCATCCCGCAATGGTCTAATTTCCAACGTGACATCCTCCAAGAGAACGAATCCTTTCTACTTTTGAAAAATATGTCTTAAGTTTTTGCTTACCATGTTTATATATAAAACAAAAAGAAATTAAGATTAAAAGTTAAAACAGTATAATTTTTATATGGTACACTGACCCATCCAGATTCTTGACGAAAGTTTAGGGCCGAAATGCTGATATTATCTTTGTGAAAATAATAGCAAGGATCCGATGCATTTAATTCCGACAATTCTTTTGTGATGTCTGTTGCGTCATGTTCCCATAATTTAAATGTAGGTACTATTTGGTTATTTTTATGCAGGTTTAACTGAATCTGTTTTCCAAAGACTTTAAGAGTTAACGGTATCTGAAAATTAAATGACAATAAATAAAAGATATGACAATTATCGAATAATTTAGACATTCAACAATGAGTGAAGCTGTAGAACTAACGTACTTTCTCAGTGTTTTTCAAATTCAATGTTGGCAGCAATATTGTTTCGATATTTTGTGTGATATACGCGTACGATTTATTTAATAAAATTATTATCACCAACTTCAATATGAAAAACATGTTTCTTGCGTTTTTCAATTATAGTACTTGGAAACGTTTTTTTAACGTTTTATTAACGTTTTATTAACGTTTTATTAATGTTTTATAACGTCTTTTTATATATTCAATTACTTATAATATACGTTATAATACTTTCCGGTTTGTCGTATCTTTTGATCGCGTATTGAATACATACTGTCATCTAGGTTTAGGAATCTCATTCGTGTCGGGTGCCACTTGTTGTGTATATATTTTTTGTGCAACATATACAGGATGTCCCAATGGAATGTATACACACTTAGCAAGTTAATGTCTGTCCATTTTGTTATAATATATAATGGTAAAATGTATGTAGGATCATTGACGGAAACGCTCATGCACTTAAAGAATATTTTATTATAAAAATGAAATAAACATAAGGCGCGTTCTTTTACCGCGGGATCTCTCACGAGATCTTACTATTACTACGACAAAGACTAAACTAACTTATTGTCATTCTAATCGCCGCTAGGCGCGGACGCACAGCGTGCGCATGGCAAACGGATTTCCGATTCTTACATGTATATATACACTTCATTGGGACATCCTTTATGTATGTATTGTTTTTTTTTTGGTTCTGAATTGTATATTTCATTGTATTTAATACTGGCAAGCAGTGGAATTTGATAAAATGCAAATTATGACTGATATGTAGAATGTGTAACATTCATTCAAAAAAATATTTCGCTGATGTAGTTAGATTTCTAGATATCGCAACAAGAATGTATCGCTATTTTTCGCATCTGTGAAAACATTGTTTGTCACATATAGAATTTATAGCAGTAATGTTCTAGCAATAGCTTCTGAAAAATTTAGGTACCATTGCTAAATGTTATTCATTGCATGATCTAACACGTGATTGATTTTATATAGATAGGCGCTTTAGAGAAACTTTCTTTTTAAAGTTTACAAACAATACAGATATATATTCTGTTTCTGTCATCTAAACTGATTAAGTAATTACATATGCAATATCACAACAGTTGCTAATCATTTATCTGTTTTAGTTAATTTTTTACACCTAGAAAATTTTAGCTATTATTGCAAGATCATTTTTTTGAGTGTTTCACAAACATTACTCACGAACGCAAAAAATTTTAATGAATGAAAATTTTAGAATGACTGGAACTTAATATTGCTGACGCAATTTAACATTATAAATATCAAATTTACTATAAAAGGAAAATACAATTGCTTACCGGTTTACTGAGTTAGAAAATATATTGTAACTTATTTATTTCTGACGTGCCGTATTCGGTTACCGAGTTTATGTGTTCAATAAATAAATAATAGTATGTACCAAATAATTTTGAAAATTATGATATTTTTTAATAAAATTTTCTTAATTTTTTTGTTTATTAATCGTTTCTGTATAGGTTATTAATGAAACATTAGTAGTCTATTGAAATACATAACACAGTGAGTGACGTCATCACTCTCCTTTATTTTTTCGACACAATATTTCATACGGAATAAAAATATCTCTACTATATTTAGCTATTTATTTTCGCGTTTTGGACACATATTAAATATTACCTATTATTTTTTTGTTATTTTTTCATGTTTGTATTATTGCTAATCGACGGAATTAATTTTGGATACTGATAATTCGATGTAAGTCTTAGTCTATTTCTCTTTATTAAGTAAATTGTAAATGATACGCAAAATAGATGTTATTAACGACACATTGTTCGAACATTCGGTACCAAACGAATTGATCAACTATTCTAGACTGATGTACGCGCGTTTTATAATTTTCTCTTTTCTCCATTCTCGTTCACTCACATCGATAATCTTTCGACAATTATTTTTGAGTGTAGTTTTCCGGCCGACAATAATGTTGGCGGCAGTAATAATCCTGGCCATCTTTATTGTGACACCACGTTCCATCTGGAAAGTATGGATCGATACCCAAGCTGAGCAATTCCAAGCGTGGTGCGTAGTAATAATTTGAATGTTTAAGTACGCAGTGTATGGTACAGGCCTTCCACGGTTCCTCGTAACTATGAAAGGCTTAATTGCCGTGGCCACGCGTTCTAATTCGACACCAAATAATTTTAAATCTTCATTATTGCCAAATTCAATGCATTTCAGGAGAGTGAAGTTGTCGATTGTCATGCGATTTTTAGTACAGAGCATCGAGTCATCGCACAGAGCCACGTCGTAATATGATCCTTCGCAACTCGCCGTTCTGTGAAGTCCATGTTTGCAAGAACGTCGTTTGACTTTTACGCCTTTAGATTTCTCTAAACAACTACTTTGACAGGGGCTCTCTTTCCATTCACTCCAATTATCCTCTTCACAATAATCGAGAGGCGGTTTCAGAACGGGCACGCATTCTTCGCCCCAACATTCTTTCTCGGGTGCGCAATAAGTGCCTAAAAAATGAGATTAATTAAGCAATAAAGTATTTGAGAGATTAGCAAATAGAAACGCACCGTCTAACGCCGGTCCCGTTAAGTAAAAGCCTTTCTTATGAGGCGTTTCACATTCTAAGGTTTTGCATATATCAAGCAACGAGACTACGTTCGCATCCTTGTCTCGGAAATATACTTCGCATTGTGCTTTGGCAGTCCATTCTCTTCCGGGTAAATTTTGATACCGCGAATGGTCAAATACGTCTTCGAGATTTTTCGTACGATCTCGAAGACATGGTTTTGTGTGCCATAGTCTGCTAGCTATATAACGACTACACTCGGACCATGTTACTTGGCCTTGATTGAATTGGTATAATGACATTATATTTTTGTATGTTTTACATGGTTTTTTATACTCGGTATCGTGTCCCATTCCTAAACTTTAAAACAAATAAATTATTAATTTGGACAGTATGCATTACTTTGCATTCTTTATTTTAAATATTTTTATATTAAAATTTTTTAATAATTAACACAAAAAACTTTTAAAAGAACAAATCTCCTAAAAAGTTTCTTTACATTCTGCTTATAAGTTGTACAAATAAATAAATTTTTATAAAATATATTATTTCTATATAATTTATGCGTAAAACTATTATAAATTTACATATGGCCAATTTCATGAGCAGCAACGAGAGTTGATGCAAAACCTGAAGATAGAGCATTTGCAATACCGAATTCTGCTATCGCACACGAATCGATTGTTTCGCAGTCACCGTTCACGAAGGATATTCCCAGGATAGATTGGTCTTTCAAATAAATGTCTATTCCGGTTAGATAAAGACCAATGTCCCAGTGATGTGGATCAATGTCGTTTGAAGGATTGCGAGTATTTGCGTATTCGCAAAATGAGTAGTATAGTTTTCTAGCGTCGCCGCCAAAAATTGGCAAATTTGACGGTTGTTTTTTCATAATTTCTAAATATACCAACGAAATATCGATAGAAACACCCAAACTCGGATGATGGAACATAGTTTGGATATTATTCACATACGCTAATATCAACATATGCAACTTTCGTTCATTGTTGTCCAGAAATGGCATGAAGGTGCGATATGCGGCTTCGTCAAAAAAAACAGCCAGTTCTATAGTTAATTTTTCTTGCGTATTGCGTACATAACGTCGCTTCAGTTTAAAATTATCCAAATTATGAAAATTTGTATCTGAAGATAGTTTCAAAGATCTTTTAATTAAGTGAGTTTTGCCAAATGAAATGTTAATTTCTTCTTTAACGCAAAAATCGTCGGTTAAAGACGAAGACGACAAGTCATCCCGCAATGGTCTAATTTCCAACGTGATATCCTTCAAGAGAACGAATCCTTCCTACTTTTGATAAATATGTGTCAAGTTCTTGCTTACCATGTTTATATATAAAACAAAAAGAAATTAAGATTAAAAGTTAAAACAGTTTAATTTTTATATAGTACACTGACCCATCCAGATTCTTGACGAAAGTTTATGGCCGAAATGCTGATATTATCTTCGTGAAAATAATAGCAAGGATCTGATGCATTTAACTCCGACAATTCTTTTGTGATGTCTGTTGCGTCATGTTTCCATGTTTTAAACGTAGATACTATTTGGACATTTCTACACAGGTTTAACTGAATTTGTTTTCCAAAGACTTTAAGAGTTAACGGTGTCTGAAAATTAGATGACAATAAATAAAAGATATGACAATTGTCGAATATTTTAGACATTGAACAATGAGTGAAGCTGTAGAACTAACGTACGTTCTCTGTGCTTTTCAAATTCAATGCTGGCAGCAATATTGTTTCGATATTTTGTGTGATATACGCGTACGATTTATTTAATAAAATTATTATCACCAATTTCAACATGAAAAACATGTTTCTTGCGTTTTTCAATTATAGTACTAGGAAACGTTTTATTAACGTTTTATTAATGTTTTATGACGTCTTTTTATATATACAATTACTTATAATATACGTTATAATACCTTCCGGTTTGTCGTATCTTCTGATCGCGTATTGAATACATACTGGCATCTAGGTTTTAGGAATCTCATTCGTGTCGGGTGACACTTGTTGTATATATATTTTTTGTACTATATATACAAGATGTCCCAATGGAATGTATACACACTTAGCAAGTTAATGTCTGTCCATTTTGTTATAATATATAATGGTAAAATGTATGTAGGATCATTGACGGAAACGCTCATGCACTTAAAGAATACATTTTTATAAATATGAAATAAACATAAGGCGTGTTCTTTTATCGTGAGATCTCTCACGAGATCTTACTATTACTACGACAAAGACTAAACTAACTTATCGTTATTCTAATCGCTGCTAGGCGCGGACGCGCAGCGTGCGCATGGCAAACGGATTTCCGATTCCTACATGTATATATACACTTTATTGGGACATCCTTTATGTATGTATTGTTTTTTTTTTGGTTCTGAATTGTATATTTCATTGTATTTAATACTGGTAAGCAGTGGAATTTGATAAAATGCAAATTATGATTGATATGTGGAATATGTAACACTATTCACAAACATTACACACGAACGCAAAAAATTTTAATGAATGAAAATTTTAAAATGACTGGAACTTAATATTGCTAACGCAATTTAACATTATAAATATCAAATTTAATATAAAAAAAATTGTTTACCGATTTACTAAGTTAGAAAATATGTTGTAACTTATTCATTTCTGACGTGCCGTATTCGGTTACCGAGTTTATGTGTTCAATAAATAAATAATAGTATGTATTAAATAATTTTGAAAATTATTTTATTTTTTAATAAATTTTCCTTTATTTTTTTTTGTTTATTAATTGTTTCTGTATAGGTTATTAATGAAACATTGGTAGACTATTAAAATATACAACATAGTGAGTATCGTTGTCGTTCTTGTTTACCTTCTATCGACACATTGTCTCGTACAAAATAAAACCTCTTCTGTATTTAACTATTTATTTTTGCTTTTTGCAAACATGTTAATTATTACTTATTATTTTTTATTGTTTTTTTTTACGTTTTCAATCATGGAATTTTATCGATGGAATTGGTTTTAGATCCTGATAATTTGACGCGATTCTTTGTCCATTTGTTTCATGAAGCAAGGTATGGATGATACGGAAAACAATTGTTAACATGACAAATTGTGCGATCGAAAATTTGGTACGAAACGAATTGACCAACTATACTAAACTGATTTACGAGAGTTTAATAATTTTTTTTTCTCGATCCTCGTTCACACTTGTCGATAATCAACAACTATTCGTAAGAGTAGCTTTCCGGTAGACAGTAGTGTTGTCGGCAGTAATAATCTTGGCCATTTTCATTGTGACACCACGTTCCATCTGGTAAGTATGGGTCGATACGAAAGCTGAGCATTTCCAAGTGTACGTCATCAGTAGATAACTTTCTTCGTGGACAGTGTATGGTACAGGCTATCCACGGTTTCTCGACGTCATGAGAGGCCTGCCATTCTAAATCCAAGTCAGTTGTTAGTTTAAGCGTCAAATCGCTAAACATTGCCATGCATTTCATTTTGATAAATGAGTTGATCATCTTGCGTTTCTCAGTACAAAATAAAGTATCATTGCACAGGACCACGTCGTAATATAGCCCTTTGCAACTCACCGATCTGCGATTTCTGTGTTTGCAAGATCGTCGTCTGACTCTTACGCCTTTAGATTTCTTGAAGCAACTACTTTGACAGGTGCCTTCTTTCCATTCACTCCAGTTATCTTCTGGACAACACTTAAAATTGTATGGTTTGATAACGGACACACATTCTCCACCGCGACATTCCTTTCCAGGTGCGCAATAAGTGCCTAAAAAAATGAGATTAATTAAATCATAAACTATTTGAGAGATCAGCAAGTGGAAACGCACCTTCCAACGCTGGTCCCGTGAAGTAAGACCCATTCTTATTAAATAATTCGCATTGTAAGGTTTTGCATATGTCAAGCAACGAGACTACGTTTGCATCCTTGTCGCGAAAATATATTTCGCATTGCGCTTTAGCGGTCCATTGTCTTCCGGGTAAATCGTGATAACGCGAATGATCATATACGTCTTTCGATCTCGTACGATCTCCAAGACACTTTTGTGCAGTCCATAGTTCTTCAACTGTATTACGGCTACATTCGGACCATGTTACTTGGCCTTGATAGAGTTTGCGATGTGACATTATATATTTATCTATATCACATGGCATTGAATCATGTTCAATTCCTAAGCTTTGGAACAAATAAATTAATAATTTTGACAAAAAGCTTTACTTTACATTGTTTATTCTAAATATTTCATATTAAAATATATCAATAATTAACATACTGAATAATTAAAGGAACAAATCTTAACAGTTTTGTTACTTTTTGCTTTTAAATTAAATAATTTAATTAATTCTTATAAAACATATTATTTATACTTAATTTACACGTAAAACTATTATATATAAACTTACACATGACCGATCTCATGAGCAGCAATGAGAGACGATGAAAAACCCGTGGATATTTTACTCGCAGTACCGAATTCTACTATCGCACACGATTTAGTTAAGTTGCACCCGCCATCGGGATGGGCTAATCCTAGAATACCTTCTTCCATCTCTCCAATATTTATTCCGGTTACGTAAAGACCAACGTCCCAGTGATGCGGATCATTGTCGTCCGGAGGATTTCGAGTTTGCGCATAATAGCAGAACAAATCCAGCACTTCGCTAGCGTTGCCACCAAAAACTGGTAAATGTGATGGCTGTTTTTCCATAATTTCCAAATATACCAATGAAATATCGATAGAAACACCCAAACTCGGATGATGGAACACAGCTTGGATATTATTGACATATGCTAATATCAACATGCGCAACATTTTTTTATTTTCGTCCAGAAAAGGCATGAACGTACGATATGCGGCTTCATCGAAGAAAACACCCAATTCTATAGTTAATTTTTTTTCCGTATTTTTCACATAACGTCGCTTCAGTTTAAAATTATTCAAATTATAAAAACTTGTGTCTGCAGATAATTGCAAAGATCTTTTAATTAGGTGAGTTTTGCCAAATGAAATGTTAATTTCTTCTTTAACGCAAAAATTATCGGTTAAGGACGAAGACGCCAAGTCATCCCGCAATGGTCTAATTTCCAACGTGTCATCCTTCAAAAGAACGAATCCCTCCTACTTTTGAAAAATATGTGTTAAGTTCTTGCTTACCATGTTTATATATGAAACAAAAAGAAATTAAGATTAAAAGTTAAAACAATTTGATTTTTATATGGTACACTGACCCATCCAGATTTTTGACGAAATTTTATGGCCGAAATGGTGATATTATCTTCGTGAAAATAATAGCAAGGGCTCGATGCGTTTGATTGCGACAATTTTTTGGTGATGCCTTTTGCGTCATGTTTCCATACATTAAACAAAGGCGATACAATTTGGTCGTTTCTACGCAGGTTTAGCTGAATTTGTGTTCCAAAAACTTTCAGAGTTAGTGGTATCTGCAATTTGAATAACAATAAATAAAAGGCTCAATAATTTTGGAATAATATTTGAAGCGTTGAGCAATGAATAATGCAACACAATAAAACTCACGTACTTCTTTTGCGCTCGAATTTAATACTGGCAGTAATATTGTTTCGATATCTTGCGTGATATACGCATATGTTTCATTTAATAATATAACTAACATCAATTTCAATAGGAAGAACATGTTATTTCTCGCATTTTGTAGTTTGAGTACTTAAAAATGTTTTATCAACGTTTTTTTTTTGTATAAAATTACTTATTACATACATACGCTATAATGCTCTTTTTGCTGCTGCAGATTCTGAGCATTCAATGTTCGTTGTATCTTCTAATCGCATACAAACACATACTGGTATCTGCGTTTAGGAATATCATTCGTGTCGTGTGACACTTATTGTATATATAACTTTTTTGTTACATATACAAGGTGTCCTAATAAAATGTATACATATTAATAAGTTATCGTTTGTCTATTTTGTTGAAATATATGGTAATAAAATGTATGTACGTTTTATTGGTTTATCTTGAATATTCGTATTTTTCTTTTCGACTTTGAATTGTATATTTTTCACATAAAATTTGCAATATTGTGGGAATTAAAAAAATGCGGTATGAAATATGGTTGATATGTAAAATGTGTAACATTATTCACAAATATTTTAATCAATATTCACAAACGTTAAAGAAATTTTAATGAATAACAATTTTAGAAAGACTAGAACATAACATTGTGCGGGCGTAATTTAGCCTTATAAATATCATATTATATATTGTTAAATATAAATATTATATACTATTAAGTAAAATACAATCGGTTTCGGATTTACTGATTGACTAAGAAAATATATCGAAATTTATCCATTTCTAGGATCGCGACTTATTCGGAGTTTATGAGTTCAATAAATAAATAAATAAATGTTTTTACTAAATAATATTCAATATTTTTTTATTATGTAATAAAACTTTTTAACTTTTTCAAGAATAACAATTATTTTTATTACTCGAAATATATGAAAATACTTTTACTTTATTCAGTTATTAATTTTACTGTTTTGTAAACGTATTAATTATTTATTATGTATTTTTTTTGTTTTTTTTTACGTTTTTAGTAATGCTAATCGACGTAATTTATTTTAGATGCTGATAATTCGACGAAATTCTTCGTCCACTTTTTTTCAAATAAGATAGGCATGATAGATACATCTACAAAACGGATGTTAACAGATATATCTATTGAATATTCATATCAAACATATGGACAAACTATTCTAGACTAATTAACGCGTTTCTTTTTCTCAGTTTTCCTTCACCCACGTTGATAATATTTCGTCAATTATTCTTAAAAGTAGCTTTCCGGAATACAGTAATGTTGGCGGCAGTAATAATTCTGGCCGTCTTTATTGTGACACCACGTTCCATCTGGAAAGTATGGATCGATATCGATGCTGAGCAGTTCCAAGCGTGGTGCGTAGGGAGTTGGTGAATCTTTTATGTGGCAGTGTATAGTACAGGCCTTCCACGGTTCTGTGACATTATAAAGGACCTGCAATCCCGCTCCACTTTCTAGTTTAATCTCAAATTGAAGCTTTAAATCGTTATTGAATTGCAAGCATTTTTTGGTAATAAACTTGAAGATTGGCCAACGATTTTCAGTGCAAAGCATTGAGTCATTGCATAGAACCACGTCGTAATATGGTCCTTCGCATCTCGCCGTTCTGTGAATTCCATGTTTGCAAGAACGTCGTCTGACTCTTACGCCTTTAGATTCCTCCAAGCAACTACTTTGACAGGTGCCTTTTTTCCATTCACTCCAGTTATCTTCTGGACAAAACTTAAAATTGTATGGCGGCTCGATAACGGGCACGCATTCTCCGCCGCGACATTCCTTCCCAGGTGCGCAATAAGTACCTAAAAAAATGAGAATAATTAAATCATAAACTATTTGAGAGATCAGCAAGTGGAAACACACCTTCTAACGCCGGTCCCGTGAAGTAAAAGCCTTTTTTATTAGGCGTTTCACATTGTAAGGTTTTGCATATGTCAAGCAACGAGACTACGTTTGCATCGTTGTCGCGAAAATATATTTCGCATTGTATTTTGGCGGTCCATTCTCTTCCGGGCAAATCGTGATAACGCGAATGATCATATTCGTGTATCGATCTCGTACGATCTTTAAAATACTTCTGTGCAGTCCATAGTTTTTCAACCGTATCACGGCTACACTCGGACCATGTTACTTGACCTTGATGGAGTCGGAAAGATGACATAATATATTTATATTTATCACATGGTAGCATATAATCGGAATCGTGTTGCATTCCTAAGCTTCGGAAGAAATAAATTATTAATTTTGACAATAATCTTTACTTTGCATTATTCTAAATATTTTTAAATATTAAAATTTATGAATAATTAACATAAACATTTGAAAGAACAAATCTTATAAAAGTTTCTTTACTTTTTGCTTTTAAATTATACAAGTGAATTAGTTTTTATAGAACATATTATTTATGTCTAATTTCTACGTAAAATTATTATTAACTTACATATGGCTGATCTCATGAGCAGCAACGAGAGATGATGTAAAACCTGAAGATAGATCATTTGCAACACCGAATTCTACTATCGCACACGAATATTTTTGGACGCTCACAACGTTCACGAAGGACATTCCCAGGTTAGTACGGTCCTTCGAATAAAGGTCTATTCCTGTTAGATAAAGACCAACGTCCCAGTGATGCGGATCATTGTCGTCCGGTGGATTTTGAATTTGCGCATAATAGCAGAACGAATCCAGCAATTTGCTAGAGTTGCCACCAAAAACTGGTAAATGTGATGGCTGTTTTTCCATAATTTCCAAATATACCAACAAAATATCGATAGAAACACCCAAACTAGGATGATGGAACACAGCTTGGATACGATTCACATATGCTAATATCAACATGCGCAATGTACTCTCATTGTTGCCTAGAAAAGGCATGAACGTACGATATGCGGCTTCATCCAAGAAAACACCCAGTTCTATAATTAATTTTTTTTGCGTATTTTTCGCATGACGTCGCTTTAGTTCAAAATTGTCCAAATTATGAAAACTTGTGTTTGCAGATAATTGCAACGATCTTTTAATTAGGTGAGGTTTGCCAAATGAAATATTAATCTTTTCTTTAACGCAGAGATCGTCAGTTGACGATAAAAACGCATAGTCATCCTGTAAAGGTCTAATTTCCAATGTTGCATTTTTTAGAACAACGAATCCATTCTAGTTTTGAAATATATACATTAATGTTCTTGCGTGTCATGCTTATGTTTACAATAAAGAATTTGAGATTAAAAGTGAAAATTATTTGTTTTTCATATAGTTTTACTCACCCATCCATGCTCTTGACAAAAGTTTATGGTCGCTGTGCTGACATGATTTTTATGAAAATAATAGTAAGGGCTCGATGCGTTTGATTGCGATAGTTTTCTGGTGATGCGATTTGCATCATGTTTCCATACTTTAAACAAGGACGATACAATCTGGTCGTTTCTACGCAGATTTAGCTGAATTTGTGTTCCAAAAACTTTCAGAGTTAGTGGTATCTGCAATTTAAATAACAATAAATAAAAGGCTCAATAATTTTGGAATAATATTTGAAGCGTTGAGCAATGAATAATGCAACACAATAAAACTCACGTACTTCTTTTGCGCTCGAATTTAATACTGGCAGTAATATTGTTTCGATATCTTGCGTGATATACGCATACGTTTCATTTAATAATATTACTAACATCAATTTCAATATGTAGAACATGTTATTTCTCGCGTTTGTTAGTTTGAGTACTTAAAAATATTTTATCAACGTTTTTTTTTGTATGAAATTACTTATTACATACATACGCTATAATGCTCTTTTTACTGCTGCAGATTCTGAGCATTCAATGTTCGTTGTATCTTTTAATCACATACAAACTCATACTGGTATTTGCATATAGGAATATCATTCGTATCGTGTGACACTTATTGTATATATACTTTCTTTGTTACATATACAAGGTGTCCTAATAAAATGTATACATAATAATAAGTTATCGTTTGTCTATTTTGTTGAAATATATGGTAATAAAATGTATTACGTTTTATTGGTTCATCTTGTATATTCGTATTTTCCTTTTCGACTTTGAATTGTATATTTTTCACATGAAATTTGCAATATCGTGGGAATTAAAAAAATGCGGTATAAATTATGGTTGATATGTCAAATGTGTAACATTATTCACAAATATTTTAATCAATATTCACAAACGTTAAAGAAATTTTAATGAATAACAATTTTAGAAAGACTAGAACATAACATTGTGCGGGCGTAATTTAGCTTTATAAATATCATATTATATATTGTTAAATATGAATATTATATACTTTAAAAGTAAAATACAATCGGTTACGGATTTACTGATTGACTAAAAAATATATTGTAATTTATCCATTTCTAAGATCGTGACTTTTTCGAAGCTTATGAATTCAGTAAATAAATAAATAAATAAATGCTTTTACCAAATAATATTTAATATCTTTTGATTATGTAATAAAATTTTTTTTCTTTTTTCCAAAATAAAAATTATTTTTATTATACGAAATATATGAAAATACCTTTACTTTATTCAGTTATTGATTTTACCGTTTTGTAAACATGTTAATTACTTATTATCTATTTTTTTTCACGTTCTTAATAATGCTAATCGACGTATTTCATTTTAGATGCTGATAATTCGACAAAATTCTTCGTCCACTTTTCTTCATCAAACAAGATATGCATGATAGATGCATCTACAAAACGGATGTTAACAGATCGACCTATTGAATATTCATATCAAACGAATGGACCAACTATTTTTGACTAATTAACGCGTTTTTTTTTTTCTCAATTTTCTTTTACACTCGTTGATAATCTTCCGACAATTATTCTTAAGACTCGCTTTTCGGCATACAGTAATGTTGGCGGCAGTAATAATCTTGGCCATCTTTATTGTGACACCACGTTCCATCCGGAAAGTATGGATCGATATTGATGCTGAGGAGTTCCAAGCGTGGTGCGTAGGGAGTTGGTGAATCTTTTATGCGGCAGTGTATAGTACAGGCCTTCCACGGTTCCGCGACATTATGATGGACCTGAAATCCCGGTCCATTTTCCAGTTCAATCTTGAAATTAAACTTTAGATCGTTATTGAAATGCAAGCATTTTACGGTAGTAAACTTGAAGATTGGCCAGCGATTTTCAGTGCAAAGCATCGAGTCACTGCACAGAACCACGTCGTAATATGGTCCTTCGCATCTCGCCGTTCTGTGAATTCCATGTTTGCAAGAACGTCGTCTGACTCTTACGCCGTTAGATTTTTCGAAGCAACTACTTTGACAGGTGCCTTCTTCCCATTCACTCCAGTTATCTTTTGGACAAAACTTAAAATTGTATGGCGGCTCGATAACGGACACGCATTCTCCGCCGCGACATTCTTTTCCAGGTGCGCAATAAGTACCTAAAAAAATGAGATTAATTAAACCATAAACTATTTGAGAGATCAGCAAGTGGAAACGCACCTTGCAACGCCGGTCCCGTGAAGTAAAAGTCTTTTTTATTAGGCGTTTCACATTGTAAGGTTTTGCATATGTCAAGCAACGAGACTACGTTTGCATCCTTGTCGCGAAAGAATATTTCGCATTGTGCTTTGGCGGTCCATTGTCTTCCGGGCAAATTGTGATAACGCGAATGATCATATTCGTCTATCGATCTCGTACGATCTCCAAAATACTTCTGTGCAATCCATAGTTTTTCAACTATATCACGGCTACACTCGGACCATGTTATTTGACCTTGATGGAGTTGGCGAAATGACATTATATATTTATCTTTTATCACATGGTAGCGTATAATCGGAATCGTGTTGCATTCCTAAGCTTCGGAAGAAATAAATTATTAATTTTGACAATATGCTTTACTTTGAATTATTCTAAATATTTTTAAATATTACGATTTATTAATAATTAACATAATAAACATTTGAAAGAACAAATCTTATAAAAATGTTGTTTACTTTTTGCTTTCAAATTATACAATTGAATAAACTTTTATAGACATATTATTTATCTTTAATTTATACGTAAAGCTATTATTATCTTACACATGGCTGATCTCATGAGCAGCAACGAGAGATGATGTAAAACCTGAAGATAGATGATTTGCAATACCAAATTCTACTATCGCACACGATTCATTTGGGGTGATTACATCGTTCAGGAAGGATAGTCCCAGCATAAAATTGTGTTCCATATAAATGTCTATTCCTGTTATATAAAGACCAACGTCCCAGTGATTCGGATCATTGTCGTCCGGAGGATTTCGAGTTTGCGCATAATAGCAGAACGAATACAGCAATTCGCTAGCGTTGCCACCAAATACTGGTAAATGTGATGGCTGTTTTTCCATAATTTCCAAATATACCAACGAAATATCGATAGAAACACCCAAACTAGGATGATGGAACACAGCTTGCATATTATTGATATATGCTAATATCAACATGCGCAATGTATTCTCATTTTTGCCCAGAAAAGGCATGAACGTACGATATGCGGCTTCATCGAAGAAAACACCCAGTTCTATAGTTAATTTTTTTTCCGTATTTTTCACATGACGTCGCTTCAGTTTAAAATTGTCCAAATTATGAAAACTTGTGTCTGCAGATAATTGCAACGATCTTTTAATTAGATGAGGTTTGCCAAATGAAATATTAATTTCTTCTTTAACGCAGAGGTCGTCAATTAACGATAAAAACGCAAAGTTATCCTGTAAAGGTCTAATTTCCAATGTTTTATTTTTTAGAACACAACGAATCCTTCCTAGTTTTGAAATATATACATTAATGTTTTTGCGTGTTATGCTTATGTTTACAATAAAAAATTTGAGATTAAAAGTAAGAATTATTTGTTTTTCATATAATTTTACTGACCCATCCATAATCTTGACAAAAGTTTATGGTCGCTGTGCTGATATGATCTTTGTGAAAATAATAGCAAGGATCCGATGCGTTTAATTGCGGTAGATCTTTTGTGATGCCTTTTGCGTCATATTTCCATACTTTAAACAAGGACGATACAATCTGGTCGTTTCTACGCAGGTTTAGCTGAATTTGTGTTCCAAAAACTTTCAGAGTTAAGTGTATCTGCAATTTGAATAACAATAAATAAAAGGCTTAATATTTTTGGAATAATATTTGAAACGTTGAGCAATGAGTATATAATGCAACACAATAAAACTCACGTACTTCTTCTACGCTCGAATTCAATGCTGGCAGTAATATTGTTTCGATATCTTGCGTGATATACGCGTACGTTTTATTTAATAATATTACTAACAGCAACTTCAATATAAAAAACATGTTGTTTCTCACGTTTTTCAATCTTTAGATAATTGAAAATTAAATAACGTCTTCTATATCAAAATACTTATTATATACATACGTCATACTACTCTCACGTTTGTTGTATCTTCTGATCGCGTATAGAACACATACTGGCACCTAAGTTTTGGATATATAATTCGTGTAGTGTGACATTTGCTGTATATATTCCTTCTTTGCTATATTTACAGAGTGTCCTAGTAAAATTTATACACAATTAACAAGTTAATGTCCATCCATTTTACTTGTAAAAACATATGGTAATAAAATGTATATACATTTTATTGATACATCCTATACACAAATTTTCTTGCTTCAGTTCTGATTTGTATATTTCACATATAATATTTGCAATAACGGTAAAATTTCAGAAAATATGAATTGTGATCGATATGTAGAATATGTAACATTTCTATTAAACATTTTGAACATTATTCTCAATCGTTAAAAAGATGTTAATTAACGACAATTTTAGAATGACTAGAGTATGACATTGCTGGCGCAATTTAGCCTAATAAATTTTGAGATATGTTATAAAACTAAATTATAATTAGTTACTGATTTTCTGATTGACTAAGAGAATACATCAAAACTTATCTGTTTCTGACGGCGTTCCCTATTCGATTACGGAGCTCACATAAGTTTAAATGATAAATAAATAAATATTTTTAATAAATAAGTTTGAATACTTTTTTCTTACGGAATGAAATTTTCTTTATTTTTTTCGTTTATTAATCATTTATATATATATATAAGTATTAATAAAACATTGATAGACTTTTGAATTACATAACGTGGTGAGTGACGTCTTCGTTCTCGTTTATCCGTCGACACAATGACTCATTCGGAATAAAAGCACCTTTACTTTATTTAGCTATTAACTTTCCCGCATTTGGATTAAACTGCCATTATTTGTAAAATCTAATTTTTTTTTTTAATGATATAAAGGCACTTATTAAGATCGCAATTAATTTTTTTTTTTATTGAAAAATTACGAATTTATATTATAATAATGTTTTTATGTTAATTATTAATAATTATAATTTTATTTCTTTTTTAGTAATGATACCTGTGTCATCCACGGTAATTCCACTGCCTGTGTACAAGGTAGGCTACGGCCTAGGTTTCATATCGAAAGATAAGAAAACCCAATCGTTGTACAAACCAGAAGATGGCATAAAGTTGATAACCAGTAAGTGTCATATAATAAATGTAACAAAATTAGATTACGAAATCTTGTTTTCCCGATGAATTCTTTTGCGCTACTTTCTCCTTGCTTTCTATCCATATCGCGATACAAGCAAAGAACCGGAATGCTGTAAACCAAATTATAAAATGTCTGATTTGCATGTTGTGTAAATAGTGCAAGCGGTTGCGCAAAAACGAGTTTTTTACGTAATTTATGTACCTTTAAGACTTTGCGTATGTCATTATGCGATAACTAATGCTAATTTCTTTTTTAGTCAAAAAGATCCAGGAGAAAAAGACATAAATGCAATGTTAAATTGCATTCTATGTCATGCACCAATTTGCTGGAAGCGCACATTTGTAAAGTGAATACTTTACTTTTTTGCCGCGCTAAAATGTATTCAAATTCAGGTTTTCTTGCGGTAAAGAGAATCGTTTTATCAAAGTTTCTCAACTCATAACTTTCAAATTTGTTTGACAACAGAACAAACTTCTATCAAGCTGATTCTTTCTTAAACAACAGATCAAAAAATAAACCTATAAAAATAAAATAAAAATTGCGCGTTATCGTTATCGTACTAATGTAATTAAGCTTTATACCAAAAATAATATATACCTCTGTAAGTGTTAATTATTATTTTTATAATAATTCTAAAGTATATTAACTGTAATATTAAATTAAAACGAGTACTAATATAGTTTGAACATATGCCTGAGCATTTTTAATTTGTATCAATAAACTTTTCATATCTCTATAACAGAACCGAATCGACTCGTTTCTAACTTCTTTTCCCTCAGAATAATCTCTCAAACACTAACAAAGTTTGTCAGTTTTATTGCAGAATATTCTGTATAGTGAATTGCTTACACACACATGCAATAATACTCTAATAATAAGAATAGTAAGTATATGTCAATTTTATTTTCATATTTTTATATTTTTTACATTTTTCATATTTTTATTTTCATATTACAACACCTTTTGTTGTAACAGTTTTACAAAATACAGAACTTAAAAACTTTGATTTGTGTACTTCCATAGTATATTATGGAGAAACAGCCATACTTTCCTCAGTTGAAGCAGCTGAAACAGTTAAACAATTAAACACATACACATTGATTGACCACATAATAAATTATATATATTATCTGCCGCTACTTACTGAATTCATTGAACATAAAATCATCCTGATATTCCTTGAGAAATTGTGTAGATCTATTTTCATCGAGGAACAGAGAGTAAACGCGTTTTACATCCTCAATACTGACCTAAAATCAATTGAAAACCTACATTAGTATCATTAAATGCATTCATGTAAAAAATTGTAGTTTGTGCTCCTTACTTCCGCAGTTTTCCTTCGGCGGCTAACAAGGGAAGCCGTCGTAATTAACTGTATTGCGTATCTTAACGATGTTTCTAATGCAATCCTTGTTAGCACGGTCAGAGCGTCGTCAGCCATTTCGCAATCTTCTTCTTCGCATCTAATTTTTAAAATTTCTTTCAGATCCTTTTCTTGATACGGACTTGTTGGAACAATAATCATACGATCCAATAAGTCAATCGGGATGCCATGCGGGCTCTTATAATTTGTCCCTCTGATTCTTGTGATACCTGCGAAAGCAATTATGTGAAATAATCTATAATTGATTGTTATATTCGTATGTTTGTACCTCTATTTGTTGCCATGATTACAACTGGAGCCATTTCATTCTCTAATGCTCGATTGAGAAACGAGAAACATTCGATGTCCAACATATGTACTTCATCGATGAAAAGAACGCCCGGGACGATTTCCGCCTTGCCCTCCTCCCGCCATTCTGCGATTTTAGAGTTTATTTGTTCTCTCACTTCAGATTTGATCTCGCCGGTGTCTCCGGAGAACAGCGCTAAGAATCCGTGAGTTCTGCTATTTATCACATCGATTTCGTGCAGAGTCACTGTGTGAACAACTTCCTTGCGTTTCTGCAATTCGCCCTCTGGACACTGCACGAAGCGTGTTTGCGAACCAGTCGCGTCGTAATCTCGAGCTCTGGTGAAAGAACGTCCAAGCCTGTTGATTTTTCCCGTTGCCTTATCGATTGTTACAACATCACCAGCTTGTACCTAAAAAACAATACAAAGTTGTAATGTAAAAATTAAAATTTGAAATTCTTCAAAATATGCAGACATACTAACTTTTTCCTTCATTAAACAATCGATCATTTTATTTCCTAAATCATAAATTGTTTCCATCTCGGTTGTTTTTAACGTCAATTTGCCAATTTTTACTCCAACTCCAGCTGCTGGTCTGTCAACTTGAATCTCCACAACTTCACCCTCGATTATTTCTGTTTCTTCTTTGATTCTAACTCCAATCGATTTTCGAATGGCTTGAGTTAAGGCTTCTGTTTTGCTCATCTCCAAAGAATATATTTCAGAACCAGCCATTGATGTGAAAGGAGTATCCAAACCCAAAGCTTGCGCCAATCCCATAGCAATGGCAGTTTTTCCTGTGCCAGGTTGTCCAGCCAATAAAATTGCACGACCTGCTATTTTACCATCCTTAATCATCTCCAAGATAACACCGACGGCTCTGCGTGCCATAAGCTGGCCAACCATACCTTGGGAGACCTAAAATAACATAATAATAAAAAGAATACGGATGTTCATTTTATCATTTGTAATATAAATATAGAATTTATACACAACGTAAAATAATAATTACATGACGAGGCTCCAAACTATCATTGAGGCCTAAGCCTCTAATGTGAGAATGAGCACCAATACGCTCTATCTTTGTGATCTCACGGACATCCTGCACATTAGTAAGAACCTGAAATAAAAAATAGTTGAATTAATGAAAATTTTAGTATCTGTATATTGCCAATTATTTAGGATTCTCAGGAAATTGATCAAACATTCGGTTGCTATGTCGACTGATGTAATGTAAGAAGCAATATCAATAACTATTTATAAAATTAGATTAAAAAATATTACTATTCAAAGGTTTTATACAAAATACAATATGCAAATAAAATGAATTTCAAATATATCAAAAGAAAGTTTAGGTTTAGGTTAACCGGCGTCTTAGATAAAAGCATGTTATATCTTATGCAGTAAAGTCCACTACATAATGTGCTTTTTCTCTGCCTTTTTGCCTCTATGTAAAGTAATATCTTTCTTCGGAAATTCAGAAAGGAGAAATTGTGAATGACATTGTTTCTTGACTATGCGATAAATACATAAAAAGCAAAAAATACGAAAGGCAGAGAGCAAGAAGCACATTGTAGATCAGGCCTAACCTCACGAAATCGTGCGAGATTAAAAAGTTTATATTATATTGAGATAAATGTATACAGTATTCTTATTAAAATAAGAAAACTTACCGCCATTATTAATAATAATACGTATTTGTCAAACACTATCAAACACCATAACAATCGTGAGAAACAAGCATGCACGCGCAAAAAGACGCGATGAGTGTTTTCTCGTAGAACGCTTTGCGCAGTTCTCGATATTACGTGCCCCTTCTATCACGTGATTTTGGTGCTCGAGCTTGCGTTATTGGTTCCGATTGTTTCTAGACAGTGACTCTAGATATGAAAATACGATCAGACAGAGAGAGCATTTGGATTATTTTGTCTCTTTCTGTTGTAGGATCTCTTCACTGAACTCAATACATATTCAGTGGCGCTTTATAATCAGGTAATCATAGCTAGCCAATCAAAAACGTTGCTACGAAGACAGATACCCGTAGTAGTGTAGCTTTCTCTTTTTCCTAGGGAAACCATCCCACTCTTTCAAGAATTTCTCCATTATGTTATAGAGCTTACCGATCTATACTTCCTACGTCTATGGCTAAATGTCAAAAATGCTCTGCACATCTTAATTTTACTGTTGACACCTAGAGGTTAGAATTGGAATATTATGCAAGAAGTTATCATAATAATATTAACATTATTACAGGCAAAAGTCCATTTTGCTTATTTGAATTAAAGAGAGAATTTTAATGAAATTTTATGTGTAGAAGATAAATTAACGTTTTATGGAAATAAATACGTTAATCAATATGAATATGCAAGAAAAGAATTCAGGTAACACTATACAATATTTTTACATCATCTTGAAAAATATCTGCAATTATTGCTAACAAAAGAATATAAAAATCTTATTCGCAATTTACAGTAAAACTACAGGGCACTCGTCATAACACACTGAAAATTTTTAAATGCCCTCAATGTGGCTCAACCTTTGATCGTGCTTCACAATTGGGCTATCATCATCGAAGTATTCATTTAGGAGAAAGGTCTCAAATTTGCCAAATATGTGAGAAGGGTTTCTTTCGTAAGGCAGATTTACGTACCCATTTAAACATCCATCTGGGTACAAATTTTCATATTTGTGAGGTCTGTGGAAGAAAGTTTAGTCACATATCGAATCTTATAAGACATTGCAGAATGCATACAGGTGATTAATATATCAAATTTATGATATAATAAACATAGATTGTGTGTATAATTAAAATAAAAAATTAAACCAGTAGATAAAATGTAAAGCATTAAACTTTATGAGTAAGCTTATCAATATGTTTTTTATCTATACACTTGCAGGAATTAAACCATATTCATGTGTAATTTGTGATAAACGGTTCACACAAATTTCTTCATTAGCAAGACATAGACAAATGATACATGGAATACCAAAGGAAACCATGAACCAGTATTGTAATCCTAGTCTTATCAACAATAAATCACAAGTCACTAATCATGCATTAAAAGAGAACAAGGTAATGAGTCATTATTATTAGTTTCATTTAATATTTGCATTATCAGTACAAATTTTTAGTTTGTTAAAAGTATTACAAGAATTGATTACTAAACAACAATGCTATTGCAAATCTTGTGGGGAAAGTTTCAAATGTGTTTTCTGTTCAAAAGTTCTTTTGCGACAACACGATAAGTGTCATTCCGAGAGCACTGTGTTGTCAGTGAGCAATAGTTGTAAGAAGGTGATAGTTAAATTTATAATTTTTCAATACTGGTTAAACTTTTAATTAGATACATATAAGGTTTATATTTTATTATTTTCTAATTTTCAGACAATAGATAATAATATAGAAAGTAGATATGAGATTTATATGGAACCAAAATGTCTCAATCAGACTAGAGATTCAGATGTACAAAAAAATGACATAATTTTTAATCAACACAATAACGATATGGACAATAAAGCATCTTTGCAGACTGGTATTTACATCACATCTAAGCAGGTAAATGTCTGATATTTTAAATGTGTTGTAATATGTGTTGTTGTAATATGAATATAAATAGCTAATATAAAATGGAAAACTTCAGGACAATTTAATGGAAAATGAGAGTACAAATCGATTGCCACAAGCAACTCATATTGCTGAGATTGAAGAAAGACTTGGATCTACTGATTTACCGATAAATAAAACTGTCGTTTCAAATTCTCCTCAAAATATAGTTAATAATCATGAACAGATACAATCCAAAGACAACATAAGTTATTTACATCAATTAGACAAAAATAATTTTACCTTTCTACCACGAGATAGAGGACCTAATATTGAATTAAACACTCAAAACGATGAAAATATTTTAAGATCGAGTGACTCGGATATGTGTATAGTTCACGGAACTTGTAAAGAAACTTCTACAAACGATATAAAGAAACCATTAAATACGGATACAAATTTGCAAACTTGCAATTCTAATGAAGTTTCAGCAAACCAAAAATTTCTGCATAAGCAAATAAGTACGGAAGATATTATTAATGAAAATAGGAAATACAATAAATTGTTAAGTGATGATGACAATCAATTATACATAGAGCTTTCTGACTCGGGAATGTTGAAATTCGATGACTCTCGATACTGTAATAATACAGATTCAGTCAGTATGAATCTCAGTCATACAATAAAATCCCAATCTTCTACTGTTGCTAATGACGTAATATATGCTCCTGTTGATATGCAAAATCAGGACAACTTGTTGCAGAATGAGGAGAATTTAGAGAATTTCAATAACTTGAGTAACATAGTGTTAAATAATGAAGAGCCAATGTTGCGTTTGGTGCAGACGGATACTGGCGAGCAATTTTATGAATTCATAATGAATAATTTGGTGGAAAAAATGCAGAACGCTTCGTGCATAAAGGATTTGGAGAATAAGGTTGAGGAACCATCAAATACTTTTAGATATTGTCCAAAAATGGAGCTAAGTCCTAAAGAAAGTAATGAAAAAAGCGATCAGAGCGAACAGATAGAGCATCAGCAAGCTTTGGAAAGCCTCACCGATATAAATAACGAATTTAATTACACACAACTTGATTTTCATGGAGAAGAAAAGAATTTCACTGCCCTGTGCCACGACGAATCTGAAAATTTCCAGCAAAACTCGAAAGATGACGAATGTGCGGATAACATTGAAGAAAAAAGTATGCAAGCCTACAATTCTGCGAATCTGGAATTATTGGAAAACGAATCGCACGTGGATTTTGACAAATACGTCGAAACAAATCTCGAAGCGCTTGACAAACTGAATTATGAAAATTGCAATGAGAGATTTTTGGAGTTCGTGGAAGTTGCTGATATCGGTATAGAATCCTCAGGATTCAAGGAATCTTCAATGATACGTTTAATTCAAAGCGACGGTGAACAATTATTAGAACTGTTGCAAGATTCTCAAATTGCTGAACAGGAATCGAATCAAGATTTCTTAGAAGCCAATAATCTCGACAAAGACTGTTCAAATGTTTTGCAAGATAGCAATAAAATAGTCGATTGTCCGAAAAATAAATCAGATTTCTTCACATATGTCGAGGATAATGTGCTATTAGAGGAAAATATAAATCATAATCAGGGCATAGAGAATAACGAAGAGCGCGTAGACAGCAATGACTTGTACGCGGATATAATGACTAGTGAAAGTACAAGTAACAAGAAATGCGTTAAAACATCAGAGGAGCCGAAGAAGTTGAAGACGAAAGACACTACGAAAAAGTTTCAATGTACCGAATGCAAAAAAGCATTCTCGACATCGTACAACTACAAACAGCACATCGGTATACATTTTACGGATCAGCAAAAATTTCATTGCAAGGATTGTGGAGTATCCTTCGCTTGGAAATCCACCTTGAACAAGCACATTGCGAATAATCATAGTTCAGACGGGCCGCAGAAGTTTGTTTGCGAGATTTGCCCGAAGGTTTACAGCACCTTATCGCAAGTAAACGTAAGTTTATCAGTGTGTAAAGAATACTATTCACATTGTACAATACATATAAACGTATTTACTTTATGTAGGAGCATGTAAAAAGAGACCATCTGAAGCAGCGCAATCACGTTTGTTCACATTGCGGTAAGTCTTTTTTCAAAAGATTCGATCTGAAGACTCACAGTAGAACGCATACGAACGAACGTCCGTACGTGTGCGGTATCTGTGGCAAAAGGTTTCATCATCAGAGCCACATCATTCGTCACGAGCGCACGCACTCGGGCAAGAGGCCATACGTTTGCGAAGTTTGTCAAAAGACCTTCACACAGCCTAGCTCGTTGAAGGCGCACAAGCAGAAGCATCAGCAGATTCGAATGGACTTTTTGGATTATCAGATCGACGAGGACGATCCTATTGCTCTGGCGACATTGTGAAAGAAAGGCGTGCGATTGTGAGACAAATGTGAGATAATAAAAACATTGTAAGATATCGTAAGATATCTTATCTTTAGCGTAGCGCTATGATGTAGTAATAATGCAGTTCTATCATCGCGATTGCATCACCGTTGTTATTGTCACGTTGTTACTTTTTTAACTAAAAACTGTTTGAATTGCGGAAACAGTGTTTACATTTATTTATTCGCGCCGAGCTAGCTTGTAATAGATATATTGTACAGTTGACGAGACTCTGTGAGAGTATACTTAATATATTCTTTTATATTAAATTATTTTTTCATGTCAATCTCAAATGGCAAAGGACTTATTACAGGACTTTTACATAACGAATCCTATCGATTAAATTAGCATTTTTTTAACTGTCGATGTTGAAAAAATGTAATTTAATAAAATAAAATTTACAAATTTGACAAAATCAAAAGAAAATTGGAAACTACAAATATGTTTAAATTTGGCGCACGATTCCGCGATTAGTCTTTTTTTTTATTTTTTTTACAATTGAATCTAGTGATAAATCGAATCGTGTATTTGGCACCCCTGCTACAGAAGCAGCGAAGGCATGTCGTCTATGAAAACGACACATAAAACGAAATAAAACCGACAGGTTTGGAGACAAGTGTCCTCTAAACCGCGCAGGGTTTTAGGTAGTTTTAAAACTCAATTCAAATTAACCGATCGATCGGGTGTATTTATTGTTAATGGCACTATGATCGATACCGTTCGCACGCATCGCAGCGGTCCATGGACGTGAATCTGAGATCTTGACCTCTTGCTAACTGAAATAAACAACAATTACTTCTACGAGGATACGAGTGCTTTTGTGATTTTTGGAGGAAGGTAAGAAAGAGCACTTCTGCGAACCCACGTTCCACGCAACCACACGGTTATTGTTCGAGAACGATCGTCGCCGCCGGTGCGCTACAACACGATAAAAGCGCATCTAATATTATGATGTGACTCACGCCGTCGGTCTTTCTATTCATTCGCCAACATTGAACAAACGCGAGCCTGCTCCTGTTCGCGTTTCATATTATACTCTCGCAATTCTACGTGCCAGCACGTATCTGTACGGAACGATCGCGAATAAATAACCCGCACGATTTTTTTTTTTAGTGGCCGCTTTTGCCAGATCGGCGCGGCCGTCGCTCATCTCTCAGGTAGCCGAGATCACATGTGCGAATCGGTCGTTCGGGCCTGTCGAGCGTGATCGAGCCTGACGATTGCGTGATACATGAATTTAATTGGCGACCCTAACCTCACATAATTTCGATAACTCGTTCGGTTCGCTGTCTCCGTCTCGCTCGCACTTCTCCGTCTCGGGCACGGGGGAGATGTCAGTTTAACGCCGACGAAAAAAGTCCAGTTACGTTGCTCACGCGATTGCTCTCGGCTGCTTTAATACCGCTTAACCCACTTGATAACTTATATCTTTGTAGCGTGGTAAGAGCTCAATCATTTTATGGGATATTCGTCACCTTGGCCCTTGTGTGTTTCTTGCATCAATGATGCGAATCGCATAATTTCGCATCTCGCATTCCATCTGATTCCATCATTCCACGCTTCACACTTCTGCGATATCGTTTCTCGAAACCTCATTGGATTTTTATAGCGTGAATTAATTAATAACAAAGGCACTGACTTATAAGAATATTGTATGTTGTTCGTGAATATATTTAATTACATCTTTGTATGCATTTATAACAATAATGATTATAATGTTCCTAATTGCTACTTTATTACTTTTTCGAGATATTCGTCATGTTTTTCTCCTTTTTATTTCTTTTTTTACGGTTCAAACATTTGTTTATAACCTTTTCCAATTGGTTTTGTATAAAAAAATTTTTTTTCTGTATGTTCTGTTATTTTGCAACACCTATTAACAAATTTAAAATTAATAATCTTATCGTATTACTTATACAATATTTATAAATATCATATTACGTATACAATATTTATAAATATTTAAGTCACAAAATGTTGTGGCTCAAGTATACATATGCATATATACTTACTCTTGCTTATAAAATTGCTTATTCAGACTTTATTACGCACTAATGTTGGAAATAATAAAACTGGATAAAGCTGTAATTAACTTTTAAAGTTAATTTTATAGGAGATTATCTTGTAAAGTAAAATTGCAAATTTTTGTATTACAGCAAACAGAGGTATGCCACGAAGCAAGCGAAGAGGACCGTCAGGCACAAATCATAATCACACTGCTATTGATATGTCAGTGTCTGGAGGACATGAGGAGAGTTTACCTAGGCATCCTTCAAAACGATTAAGACATACCTCTAGGCAAGTGTAAAACCGCATCTTTTTTTATAACACTGGCATGTGAAAAATTTTTTGAATATAATATATTTAATAATATATTTTGAATATAAATAATATTTTTTTACAGTGCCAGACGATATTCAAAAACTGACGATGTATCAAGTGCAACAGTGTTTTCTCAAAAACGTTGTGTTGCTTGGTTTAGAGAGTATACCTCACCCGATGATCCGGATACTCTTGGACCTGAAGGAATGGAAAAATTTTGCGAGGATATCGGTGTAGAACCTGAAAATGTAGTAATGCTCGTTCTTGCGTACAGAATGAATGCTCGGCAAATGGGCTTTTTTACACTGAGCGAGTGGTTGAAAGGTTTCTCGGAACTGCAATGCGATTCTATTAGTAAAGTACAACAAAAGCTTGAGTACCTAAGAAATCAATTAAATGATCCATACACATTTAAGGGGATATACAGATATGCTTACGACTTTGCCAGAGTATGTGCAATATTGCGTGTATCAAAATTTTGGATGCTAAATACTTTTATACATCTTATATATTGCCTTTGAGTATATTTTCATTTAAACTTTGCAGGATAAAGATCAACGAAGTATGGACATGGAAACTGCAAGGGTAATGTTACAGCTGCTTTTGGGGAAACATTGGCCTCTGTTTGCGCAGTTTGCTCAGTTCCTAGATCAATCCAAGTACAAAGTGATAAATAAAGATCAATGGTGCAACATATTAGAATTTTCACGTACAATCAATCATGACTTGTCTAATTATGATTTAGATGGAGCGTGTAAGTATATAATAGGGATACTTTATGCTGACTTTAGTAAAAGCGTAACAAATTATTTTATATACACCCCATTTTGTAAATCATATATATAACTTATCTAGGGCCAGTAATGCTTGATGAATTCGTCGAATGGTTAAAAATTCAACGGGGCGAAGGAGTCCCGTCGACAGAAGCAAGAGGCAGCTGAAACATCTTACAAGAATAGTCCATTGAACTAAAAACAATTCGTTATTTCTTTTTTTTAATCGTAATATTCTGTTAATAACGAAATTTTTGTTTATAAATCATAACCTCGCGACATTTCAATTACCATCATTTATACTATTTTTTTTAATTAAAATGTAATAATGTATTGTAAGTAGCTTATCATAAATATGATTTACAGGATCTCTTTTACACAAACTCGGTTAAAAAATTTTATTTTGTTTCCAATTATTCATCACCATTTGCAATTAAATCCAATCACAGAAACTTGTGATTAAAAATAAAACTATTTTGATATAAGATTTACTTGTGCAATTTGTAAAAATAATTTAAAATCAAATTCAAGGAGAAATAAGTTAATCTAATTAACTGGTTTTTTTTTTTTTTAATTGAATAATGCTTTCAGATGATTGTCATTGACTTCCAGTGATTGTAAATTGCACAGTTTGTGTCATTGCAAATTAAACGCTCTTACTACGCGTTACTCAATGCGTTTTTGTTAGACGTTTATTATTTAAATAAACCAACAGCCAAAAGCATACACAACTTTCACATTCCATATCATCGAGTTAATATCGAAAATGTGTTTGTGTATTGGAATTCACAATTCGCAATTTCTGGAACAAATTCTGTTAATGTATTCTTAACTCTTTGTATACCTGTTGCAAACTTTATATAAAGTAATACTGACAACATTTTCTACAAAATTTAGGTATGTATAATATTGTCAATGAGAGACATTTAAAAAGTACGTAAATATCTCACTAAGTAGAATCATTGGTGAAATAAAACATACATTATGCAGGTGTTATTGCAACATTTAGTATTCTAAAAGCAGTACATAAAGTGTCAATATCACACGCTATTTAGTGAAATTTAAGTAATTCCTGTAAATGCTAAAATTATGGATGTATATTAGTATAATACCCTCTGATTAAAACATGATAATATTTATTAAACAGCTATTTCTCGATTTTTCAAATCGATTTGTCAATATCAATTCTTATGCTTAAGGATGCAAAATTCATCAACAAAAAGACTTATTTTGTAATTATTTAATGATAAAATGACTAATTATTGTTTTATCCAATAGTCTTAACGATGTATATACTTAAATCAATTGTTATCTCGTACAATTTCTGCGACTATTACACATGTCAAAGTTTCAATATAAAAACTGAATATTTTAGACATGCATCGCCAACAAGTTTTGCGAAGATTTCGAAACTGATGTATAATGATTATATAAGACAACTATGTAAAATATATTAGTTTGATAAAGTGCTTATCTCTTTCATTTAATGAATTTATAAAACTGATTATTGAAATTACATGTCATTGAGGTAACTTTACGAACCAATTTAATAAAATATAAAGAGATAGCAATCGGTGATATTGATCACAGGTTTGTCCGATCATGTTAAATTCACGAGTTTCGGAATATCTGTACATTTATTCTGCATGTGTTACTTCTATTATAAAGAATGCAATTAGTACTATATTAATAATGTGACTTGCATTCCTTTTGTGCAATGAATATAAGATCTCTGAACGGAAGATATTCATTGAATATTTGTAAATTCACACACTGCAAATAAATTAAAAAAAAAAATGGATTCTAATTTGTTCCAGGCTATTGCAATATTACTGCCATTTGAAGAATGTAATGTATTGGAGAATGTAATGTATTGAATGATAATAAGGAGTGAATAAAATACCTTTTCCAATATTTCATTATTCTCAATTATTATTCTTAAATAGAACACGATGTAATTACGGAGATGCAAATAAAAGTGCATAATATTTGACAAGTTTTAAATAATAAACTTCTTATTCAAATTATTGAATTTACTCAAAATAAATTCTCACTTTAACTAATGAGAATTTAAATAATACGTATTTTCGAATGCATTACATTACAAGTGTTGATACAAAAAAAATTTGTATACCTAAATAACTTAATAAAACAAATATAAATAATACAAATCTTTACCTAAACAATAGTGCCAAGCTATTGTATACATAGAAATGCTTGATGCATCATATATAGCACAGCCTCAATGAAAGTACCATATAATTACGAGAAAAACTAACACTGCCCTAGAATAAAAGAAATACTGCTAACAGTTAGCAGAAGATACAAGTACTATATAATTACGAGAAAAACTGACACTGCCCTAAAGTGAGAATAGAAATACTGCTAATAGTTAGCAGAAGGCACAAGTATCTACCTTTGATTGATATCCTAAATAATCTGGCGGACATTTTTAAGGAAGATGTGTACAGAAGTATGCTATCGAGATCTTCTCCCGAAGTAGTTTGATACACGAACGGACGTATACGTATTTCGTGTCCTACGCCTCGAATTATGGAGCAAGCGTTCGTTAAACGTGCAGCCTGAAAGAAGAAATACATCAATTGATTGTTGTGAATTGAAAAAAAATGTCACGATGCAACAGAAGTAATAATATTATACCTGTATAAACGGTGCAATCGATATCAAGATCCATAGCACAACATTTATCACACTGATATACGTAACTCGATTGCTATTCATATCATTAATATAGTATTGAAATAACCATGCAGTACCTGCAATTGCCCATGACAAATTAACTATAGTGTAAATACATACAGCTGGGCCTAATTCGTCATTGAAGTACTTCAATAGCTTCTTAAACTCATCAATATCCTGAAAATTGCGAACAAAATGAGTGCGATTCTTTTCACTTCTCTTCCGACGCAAGGCAAGAGAATCTCGCTGAAATATATGAAACGAACTCTCATCCAATCAATGGGTTGTAGAATGTGTTGCAGCAATTTTCCACGTAGAAAGTAGAGGTGTGACATTAACAGCTGTCCTTGCAGGCAGTAACTTGTTATAATAGTTCCCTGAACCATATCATGCCACAAGGTGCAGATGACTAAGAATACTTTCAACGCCGTCTTCACTTGGTACGGACTGCAGTGGATAAAGTATGAAAATTGTTTTGCTTCCATTGAACACTTTTACAACACTTATATTCTATGCACGGATAGTATTACCAGTAATTACCTATCTTCCACCCACTGAAATATAATATTCCCTTGCGCCATTTGAATATTCACTGTAATTAATGCTACGATCATCCACACTATGCTCAATGCTATGAACAGCCACAATATGTGTACAAGGCGCTTCTGATTGCCGTGATTTATCGGATTCGAGGAAAGAAGAAACGCCCTTTCCATTAGATTTTGCAACTGTTCGTTTTCCTTAATGCGAAATAAGTATATCATGTACAGATAAGCGACTAGATGCAATACACTTGGGATCAAGTAGCTGAATATCATATTTCCATAGCAAGATGCTTCTTGCGTACGTCCTCCGTTGACACTCACTACATCTTGTAGCACTAACATTTTGTAGCAAAATCCTCGGTCTCTCCTGAAAATGACAAATATATTTTTTTTTGCGAGACGAGTCAAATGCTAGAAAATAAATATGAAACTAAGAGAGTTATATAAGATCTTAAACATAATTATGTCTATACTTTATTCACATATACTTTCTTAATTTTAAATCTTGACTGTTCCTTTGCAATTTATTGCGTGCAAAAATTGAATAATAGATTGTCTTACCTAAAGCAAGCCATATATTGTAAAATATATCCAATGCACATAAATATAGTGACTTGAAGGGTGTGAAGATTCGTCAAAATAGAACATCGTAAGAAATGGTCAGAATCATCACTGTTAGTTGGTCTCAATCCCATCACTCCCAATAGCCTCAGGTACGGTCTCAATATTTTATGTTTACAGTAGTGAAGCACCGCTGATGTACTGATAAAGTCTTCGTAATCTTCAGTGATTTCACCCACCTGCAAGAAACAGATGCAATAAACTGATTGAAATCCAACTTATTCCACACACACACACACAATTTTTACCCCAACTACAATTTATTTTAATTAAACGACTAGAACAATATGTAAAATTGTGCAAATATATTGAAAATTATTGCATTAGCAAATATAGCAGCTTACATCGGTGTTCTGGAAAGTTGATGTCATACTTGTCACCATAGATGGTACGGAAACTTCTGTGTGTTCTTCTGTACGATTTCGTGGAGATGAATCCTTACCATTCTTGGGCTTATTATTACAGTCTACCTGCAAATAATTCCTTCGATGTTAATATGTTTTGCAATATAATATAAAAATTAACATAAATTGTAGAAATTATAACTTCTATATATTATTTTATCAATTTTGATAAATATCTTACAAATAACTAATTAATTCATATTAAAATGTAAATTTTATAAATATATCATGAAAAAATTACTTTAGCACAATTAATCATAACTTTGTAGAATTGTACAAATTACATGTCACATATAAGAATTATGTTAGATATATTTTAAGGATAATACTCATAGATGAATTTGACATTTCAGTGCTTGTTTACATTAAATTCAAAACAAGATTCTTCACACTTTTATATTAAGGCTTTAAGGCTATTAAGTTGATAACGAGAAACGAGAAGCAATTTGATATCATATACTTAATGTGCAGAGGTGATAATTACAATAATTGGATTATGCAATTTATTTTAGCTAAATTTTTGTTGGTAAATCTATTTGTGAATTGAAATCATAGTAACTTACCATTGCCACTTGGAACTCCTTTAAGGAGTAAACTGTTCTTGAAGTTGAGAAGAAAATATTTATATCAATAGTTCAACATGTGGCTCACCCTAACATATGAATTTAAATTATATCAGTATTCTGATGACATTTCACCTTTGCTCAGAGATATCCGCATACATATAACTAAGCAAATTGTTGCATTTGTATAGGAATACGCATTAGAGCAAGCAACGAGTATATTGAAAAAAATATTATATTTACAACATTTAATACAAAAAGACATTATTAATAAATTAACATATTTATATGTTTATAAATTAGCATTTACAAACATATAAATTAATTTATTGTTTAAGAATTGATTTATTTCTTCCTAAAAATTCTTCCTGCTGATCGTAACGTGTTATACTCTCTTCTGTGGAGTTTTGTTCCAGCAGGTCGTTTTCTCTGCAAAAAAAATGAAAAAAAGAAAACAATGAATACATCGATTGTTCTAGTTTAATTAAATTAAATTAGCGGACTTACCTTTCCAACAAAGAAAGTCATCTCTCTACTGCCACGCGAACCGGACACTTGACTACTGTGCATCTCTTCATTTTCTAATCTCTCCCCAAATGTCGCTCTACAAAATATTACAATGCAGTTTTAAGATTCGAAATATCAATTTTTGATATAATAAAGCAAAATGAGATCATTAGATTTACTTGTTCCGTTTCTTCTTCTCGGGTTCACCTTCTTCGAACTTCACTTCGTTTTTAATATCGTCTAATTTCAATCCATTTTTGTCAATTGGATTGTTATCCTCGTCTTCACTCTCCTGTTCCTTCATTCTTTCATTCCTTTTTATTAACCGATAGTTCTTTCGAACTTCTTTAACCCATGACTTCTCATCGTCTGAACTTTCATCGTTAGATCCATCATGTATAAAGCTATCATCCGAGCTATTACCTTCAAGTAGGAAATAATAGTTTAAAATTCGAAAATTCTTTTGTATATAAAAAAAAAGATTTTCTTCTAGAATGTTACATTAAATTTTTGTTATTACCTTGTGGTTCGTCCTCGGCAGGTTTGTCTTGCATTTCTTCCTGCTGCGCTAATTGCTGTTGCAATTTTTTAGCTTTACTTTTATCGAGTTGAGAAATAACAGGGTTTAATAAAGCGTATTCTTCAGAATTCTTATCAACTTGGAAATCTGGATTACTGAAGAGAGCGTTAAATCGTTCGTCATTCAACAGATTAGAAGACGCTTGTTTCTTCTTGTTCTTGGCATTTTTATTTTCTATTAACTTCAAAGCCAGTTCTTGATTCACGGATGGTAACTTCTGTATCTATTAAAAAAAAATGCAAATATCGATTTTTAGTGTTATGTAAATAATTTAACTAAGAATAAACATATCATCAGGTAGCTGTATATATAAGATTGGAATTAAGTCGAAAAATACCTGTACTCTGCTAGTAGTTTCTTCTTCAATCTTCTCGCGAATTTTTTTCTTTTTATACTGTTCGAAATCAAACGGTTTCATGGCATTTTTTACTTTCATGTACAATCGCATGTCCATAAAGTACCCGTGCATATAAGCTCTGAGTAACTCAGTACCCTTCAGATGTGCAAGGTCCAATTCATCTAATTCCTTTTCAGTTATAAATTTGTAATCATGATAAATAATATCATAATTAAGTTCTTCCAATTCTTCTGTAATATTGTCGAGAAAATTGCACCAGTAAGGCGCAGGGCCAAGACTGGGAATGTAATATGTTTGCATCTTTTGAGTTTCATTGGCTAGCAAAAGCATACCAGTGTTTGGTATAACGCACAGATCGTTAAAGTTATGCTGAGCTTCTATGGAAGTATAAATTTTGCCCTAAAAAATATGTAATAATTTTATAAAATTATATTATACAAAAAATTATTTTGTAAATTGTTGTTTTTTACTAAACAAGCTAAGGATTTAATAAAATTTTACTCACACTATCCTTTTCCCATATTTTCACAATTAAATTATCCATAGAGTAAACCAGATCCATCTTTTGATGGAAATCTATACATGTGATTGGCAATCCATACATGTGATCTTTAACCATAAATGGTTTATTGGATCTTATATCATATAATAATACTTGTCCCGTTGATGTACCAACTCCTAAGTTTAAACCTCCTTGAAATTTTAAGGCGGTGATCGCAGGAATGGTGTTCAATCTAAAAAAAAAAAACGACTGTATTAGTGGAGGAATCATAGACAAAAAATGCAAATTCTATTTGTGTATCTTACTTGTCTTGAGTAATACAATGCAGGGCACAGTCAAGCATGCCTACTCTACTTCTCACTCTTGGATCCCAGGCTTCAATTTTTCCATCTTGAGTGCCGACTGTGAGTAAGTGATGCACTGGATTTATTTCACATTTATTTATTGATGATGCTTCTGTTTCAAACGATTGCAAAAACTGGCCTCGTTCGAGATTTATTCGAAATATGTTCTTACTGTAAAAATATATAATTATTTTTTATTACATTTATATATATTTATCTATATTAATTTATTCAAACAATGATTGCAACATAGATAAGGTTTGTAGAACTGACCTATCACCTACAATAAAAGTATCACATGATGGATAATGATATTTCAGATCTCTTCCAAAATTTGGTACTCTGAGCCTGTAATATTTTCCATGTGCAGCATGAAATTCAACACTGCGATCACAGTGTAAAAATATCAACTAAAAAAAATACAATAAAGTTAATAAAATTAACTTAATAAAATTAATAGAATCAAATTACAATTGATGAACTCAAAGTACTTTCTACAAACTATTTTATAGGTCTTTAATATTCGTACTTACTTTGCTATAGTCATCTGATAATACTTCAAAAGTGACCACTTCAGAATCAAAACATCTTTCAAATTTCAATGCCAAATTATTAACATCAAAGCACTTTACACGTGGCTTATAAATTCCCGTTGCTAAAATATGCTGTCCATCTTTAGATACCCTGATAGAAGTGCTGACACCAGGCATACTAAAGTCTTGTATAAGTTCGATACGTCGTCGTATGTCTATCAATAAATTTATAATGTTAAGTAATGAAATAAAAATATTGAAAAAACATTTCATCAACATAAAACAAACAGTATACTAAAAATTCCAAATACATTTTGATAAATTAATTTTATTCTTAATTAGCAATTCTTACCAACATTCTTCTTCAATAATTTCCTTCTTTTTTGTTCAGATAGCCACTGTAAAAAATAAGAATATATATTTTATGATGTTGGTGTAACCTTAAAATAAATTACTGTACAGTTAGAGAGAATTAACGTTTTTTACCTCAGGGATAGACCTTCCAGTGCTAAGATTATAAATCTTTATGTTATTCGGTGCGGAAACTTGCATCTTGACAGCCTTTATATGATAAACTGTATAAAATCTCTCTTATAAATCTCTAATTCTTCACATATTTACGTCGACAACCATGGGGAACGCACGTGGTGCACTAAACATCTTTAGACTGCAGTTTTTTTTCTTACACTTGTTGCACTAAAATGCGAAGAGTATACGTTTGTAGCTGCGAGTAAAAAAGAGAAAAAGATGAGAGTGCAGAAGTATATTTATGAGGGATATAGCTAAGATTATGTCAAGTGCACATAAAATCTAGAGAAATTTTTTTAGAGGAAACAAGCCGCGTTTTCATGAAAGAATCGACTTTAAATTTTAATTGCAGACTTGCGACAAATGTAATTGCATAATTTTTTCTACAAACCAATGCGATTGGTCCAACGCCATTAAAAAAATTCAAACACTGTGATATAAATAAAATTGTAAAAAAAAATGATTACCAACGTTTGACAATCAGTTCGAATGGTCGTCTAAATGTTCCTAATGTCTAGCGGTTGGTAGTTACAGAAAAATCCGTTAGGGGGAGCAAGTTGCGAAGGACGACCGATGATGACGTTGGAGGGAGGGTCGAGGGAGAAGAGTGAGGAAGGGAGGGTGGCAGAACGACCGGCGTTTCAGAGCGCGTATCGGTAGTCGCGAGTTGAGGCAGTTGGTGACGGGTCGCGGTCGTCTAGTGTGCCGTAGTGAACAGTTTTTTCGGTCGCCTTCTCTCCCTTGTGTTCAAAAATGAGCTGGCAGGATTACGTTGATAAGCAGCTGCTCGCGTCTAGGTGTGTTACCAAAGCGGCGATCGCCGGACACGATGGCAATGTGTGGGCGAAATCCGAGGGCTTCGAAGTGAGTAGCGCTCCAAAAGAATACCAAGAAACGGGAGAGAGAGAGAGAGAGCGAGTGAGAAAGAGCGAAAGAGGGAGCGAATGAGAGATGGTCGGAGAGACGAGAACGAAGGAGAGACGTGATCGGATAGAACGCAGGGAGAACGAGGCACAGCCGGTAGATGCGGTAGCACGCCCCCTCGATAAAAGGGAAAGTGCGCGGTGTAAAGAGCCCTTCGCGTAAAACGCGCTTTGTCGCTGTGAGGGAGACGCGAGAGAGAGAAAGAGAGAAAGAGAGAGAGAGAGAGAGACAGAAATGCGAGAGCGAGAGAAGGAAGGAGAGAGGACAGATGCTCCGGCGAGATCGTCTGCGCGGCTCGTTCCGAGGCTCTCGACCGCGAACCGGTTCGCGCGAGCGAACGATCCGATCCGTGCCGCACCGCGCGGCATGCACGTCGTCGACCGCTTTCTAACCCCGAAAATATTGTGCCACGTAGACGTACCGGGTTTGCCGGCCGGCCGGCCGGCCGGTTAATCATTTATTTCTGTCGCGGCGCAACGCGTTATCATCGTCAGCGAACGACATTATCCGCGATGTATCATCCGGCGGCGGCGGCGGAGGTGGCGGTGGCGGCGGCGGCGATCACGAATCTCCATCGTCGTCGGGGAGCTAGCGGGAACGGCGGACATGTTTTGCTGGTGGCCGGCAGCACTCCCGCCGCGCCGTTCCCCGGAGGTGCGCGACGAATCGATCGAAAATGCACGCGAATGCCCTTGTCGACGAGGAGGCGGTCGTCGCGGTGTCGGGGACAAACGATGATGATGACGGGCGCGATGAGAGCGGAACTTGGGAACATGGGGCGTATGAGTCGCGTGAGTTAGACGTGCTCGCACGTCGGTTGAAGGATCGATTATGTATCGCGCGCCTCGAAAAGGGTGTGGCGTGGCGATGACGGCGGCGGCGGCGGCGACATTCGCACAAAAATTCGTTCTTTCGACCACCGATCGAAAATCCGTGCAATTGCACTTTTTTGCTCCTCGGCGCCGTGTGGACAAAACCGCGCTTCGGCTGACGGCGGGTCGCGTTTCTGTCGTCGGCCGAGACCCTAGATTCGCTCTTTCGCGTATCCACGACAGTGGAATCCGAATGCTCCGAAATTATTAGCCTTTCATTCAGAGTCGAAGCGTACGCAACGGCTTTTTGGCGGCGACGCTTAACATGGCCGCCTTCTATCAACGCGCCGGGCACGTTGCGCTGTCGCACCGCGACGTGGAAATGGTGGTCCATTGTCCGCGTCCGCGATGATTTTTAACAGGCGAACGCGATCGCGTTGGAGTGTCAAGATGACGAAGATTCTGGCGAGAACGAGCGCAGGACGGGAACATGTGGGAGCTGGATGAATGGATGAATCGAATTTTTAGGTTAGCTTAGCGAGAGAATCTCGTAGGCGCGAGAGAGAAGGGTGCGGGGCGATATTTGCAATCACCGGTGTATTGGATGCTTTTACACAGAGTGTTTCGCCTCTGTAAAACGTTACTATTTGCGCGAACTAAAGTTTCAGCTAAACACTGATTAGAATTTTGTCCGTCACACACGTTTCATGTTTTTGACATTTCGTTAATTTTCACGAATTAGACGAATCTCTGCAACGTTTCCTTTTATTAATGAGCTTTCCTCTTTTAATGAGTCAATGGAAATACTAAAATCAGGTCGGTCTGTTAATTTAAATATTATAAAATATTTAGCCAATCGATATCGAGCCAATTTTAGATGCTAATACGTTAATCATCGCAATATTATTAATTATGAATTAATCATTTGAATTATAATCTCCCATCAAAATCTGCATGAAATATGTACATTTTCTATTTATAGAATTTACGTCATCTTCCATTTAAAATGACATTTCGTATGACTGCAATGAACGATTCTGGTGAAGAGAAATCAAGAATTCTGAATTTATTCGTGGAACTTCGGAACGTCACATTTGCATGATGATTAAGCGTATTTTCAATTCATTAAACTAATGATATCCGGAAACGTGACATTGTGGGAGGTCACTTCGTAAATCTGGTAGATCTGAGCGTGGCAATTATTGCACGCGAAAGATATTTGCGCTGTGTCGTCTAGGATTGGCGTCTCGCGATGTCCCGGTGCATGCATTTCTCGGAGCGTTTCGCTCGGAGTCCTATTGTCGCGTCTCGATGTCTTGCACAATGGTTGGTTCTTCGAAAAGAAAAAAAAATATTTCGTGGCTCTTCGAATCGCGTAGTGAAAGCTGCGATTGTGATCGTCGCGCCCTCGTCGCTGCATTTTCGAAGCTTGCACTGCGAAATCTGTCGGTAAAAATTTAATGACTTCAATAGTGGAGAATGGACACGTGAATCTTATCTTCCAATCAATCTTAGGTGATTAATGGTATGTTGTGATTTAGATATACGTAAATCTTTAATTATACCAGAGTGGTCATGCTGTGTTCTCTTTCAATCGGTTCGTAGATTTCAGGTAGGAGAATCGGGGTGTAAAATGGCCTTTTTCCTTTTTCTTCCTAAGAAATCTTCATAAACATCACAATTAAGATTTGATTCTCTGTAATTATCTAGTAACAGAAGTAGAAAGAGAGTCACTTAACCTCTATTAATTCTTAATTCGGAAATAACATGCCGTACAAAAGTGAGCTGATCGTAAGATTAAATTAGAAGAAGAACGGTGACTAAGGCGAGAAACTTGTAGCGGGAATTTGGGAATAATCGTGTATTAGATTAGATTAGGATAGGTTAGGGCTGGTTATGCATGGTTGCTCATAAGTGCACAAGGCCGGGAGATAAAGGTCGTCAGCTGTAGCGTGGCCTCAGTGCGCACACTTTCCGATTGTTGATGCTAAAATGGCGAAGCCGGCCGGCCGGCAGATCTATCGGGCAGCAACCTCCAAATGCTATGTGTCGCGAAACCGAGCAGTCAAGATTCCGATTTGGGACAAGGTTTTCTTCGTCGAGATCGGATAAATTAACGCTCCTTATAAGACAGAAACCCTGCGACGTGCAAATAACGCGAGTGCTTAGAAAGAAATGAGCTACAATTCAATTTTACTCCACGCCGAATAGCTTCAATATGCCTTTTTAAAATCAGAAGTTGAGATTCTGTTTTGAGATTTATAGTCTTTTCACGACAGAGAAGAACAATTTGTTTTTATTACAAAAGCTATTCGAGATCATATTTATTTCTTCAAGAATATTTCGACAGTTATTGTCACATTTTTTTAAATATTTAATAATGTTTTTGTAATAAACCTTGAAAAATCGAAAAACTGTATATATAATTTATATAAAAAATGAATTAGTTTTATTAAACTACTTTGATTAAACTTTGATTAAACTTTGATTAAACTTGGCGTGAACAGATGTTATTACAAATTATCTTCTTATAATTACGCTCCTATATATTTTAATTAAAAAGATTTTATCAGTCGATCCATTAAAGTGAAATCATGAATATATTACGTTTTTTGTAAACGACACGATTGCCTTGGAAGCTTTCTTGCAAACTTACAGCCTCTTTCTCAATCAGCCCGGCGTTAATTATCGCAATTAATTTCTTCATCTGGCGAGAACATTCGTTAGTTCACTATATAAAACCAGTCTAAACCAGATCAGTGGGTCTTTAATCCTTTAACCGCACATGTAAATGTTTTCTTCGACGTTTTGCAACCGCGATGCACAAATTTACGTCAACACAAAATCACAGCAACGTGTTTCGATTTTATTCACAAGTGTTTCATCATTCTACAATTTATTCGCCATTATTTGTCAATCGATTCACAGTCTTGTGTTACTATCTGATTTCGAGACTCAATTTGTCTTTACTAGGAAATTCTCAATCCTAGTTGAACGTTAGCGCCTGGCAAAAGGGTTAAACGAAGATGAAACACCAGCTTCGACGGAATGATTCATCATTCTCAGGGCCGCACCGTGCCGGAAGGTGGCCTCGTGTCACCCGTCTCGGGGTCCTATCGTGACTCATATGCTTGGCTTAACATTCGCACCGTTGAATCGATCGCAAGGTACACTATTCTCGTACGGCCCGACGAGAATACCTCTCAAGTTCGCCGCTAAATATAAGCAGTGCAAAAAGAGCCGCGGAATTTTGTTTAACGACGTCTTGGTGACTATGTAGCTTCTATAGGGACACGTCGCCGCAGTTCGATGACTGCAATTCGATGACTTTGAATTGTTTTGTGAGCCCGAGCGATTTGATTACAATGCAAATGTAAAGATAAACCCGGTATGACTACAAGTACTTTTTTTTTCTTTAGCTGCAGTTTACGCTTTGTTCGCTTCAAAATAATCACTCGATCTTTTCAAGAAGTAACTTTTTATTCGCGCATATTCAAAAGTTAAGAATGAATAATGACTAAATTATTCTACAGGAATACAATTTTTGATATTAATTAATCGGAAAAGAGAAATGCGATTAGTCATAGATGTAGGTTCGTTCTTTTTATTCTCGCTTTTTTCCTATATTTTTTGTAATTTTGATAATGAAAATAATAAAGGCACGAATAATATCACAATTGTAAAGCGACGAAACGAGCGAAAACCATCCAAACAGAAAGTGGACATTAATTTCCCGCCAACGCAATAGGATAAGATATCCGGTGGTTCATCTTATCACGTCGGTGATAAAGTAAGATATTTTTTTAATATGAGTATCAAGGAAGTGAAGAAAAATGTAATCGCAGCTCTAGTTTGTACATACCACGCTTAATAGTCATAATAAATGCGCCATTAAAAGAAAATTGAATACAAATAGAGTAGAAATAGTTTACATCGTCGTTATATCGATGGTGTGAAAATTATGGAAGACATCGTGTGGCAGCGTTTTTTTTTTTCCCAAGTGCGCCAAGGGCTGAATACTCACCTCGCGCGTATTAAAAGAGCGAATCTGCGAGAATAGCGCGAGGAGTGACCTCCTTTCTGCGGCACCGCGCGAGAAGTGCAAAAAATCTCACTTAAACTCGAAACGTTCTCGAGCAATCCGATTCAGGCTGTGCAGAATGTTTTGGGGCATGTTTTGTCCGCGGACTCTCTTTTCCTCCCATTTTGGGAAGTAGCTTCTCGCTTCTTGTAATTGTAAAATATTTTTTGTGATTCATAAAAATCCAGGAACCCGCGAAGATGAGTCTCGTAGCGAAATTGTAGAAAAATGCAAGGCGATATTGTATTGTCTATTGAAGTTGAGGAAATTAGAGACACAGAACGTCGGGTTTCTCCGATTTACGTCACACGGCTGCACTTTACGTTCGGCCGGGTTGCATTTAATGCAACGTTTCGGCGGAAATAGAGCGGGAGAAGAGAACAAAGTGAGGCGAGCGTGTGTGTGCAGAACCGTGAGAAAGAAGGCGGCAGCGGCGGCGACCGGTCGGTCGTACAAAGACACACCGTAATCGGGGTGCACTTATAGTTCAAGGCCGTCTTAGATCATCCCGGATTAACTGCAACGACGCTCGCGGACGCGCGCGTCGACATTTAGGCCCATCGATCCGCTTTTACGAAGACGCTCTATTCACGTCTCTTCATCGAAGAGGAGCGGCAGCTCCGTCGTTTTTCCTCTCCCAGCCGTACTTTTTTCGCGCTTTCGGAAGAAAAAACAGACTCTATTTACATCAGAATTCACGTCAGGCTTTCTCGCTGGAGAAATATTCGCTCTCTAAATTTATCAGAATACATTCCGCGATCGGAAGGCGGGAAAAAATCGGGCTATCAATTTGTTTCACGTTTCGCGACGCTTTTGTCGTGAATGAAAGCAACTCGTTAAGATCGTTACGGACAGCTTCGACGGGGATTTAAGGGCTGCTCGTCGTCGTCTAGCTTTTGATGTAGGACGACCGTTATACTCGGCAGCGCAATTGCACTAGCGCGGGATCGATGCTGACGTGAATTGTGGCTCTTATCGTTGATTATCTCCCTCTCCTATGTCGGCTGACCTGCTAGGCACGAAAGGGTTAAGAGCAATTGACTTTGAGACACTTGGCTTTGAAATCTGAGCTCCCTCAGGTCTGAACGCGCGTATCCGTTTGGTGTTTCCAGGAAACTCATACCAGATCCCTCTGTCACGACTTCTTAATGTCTTTATCGTACTTGTATCTGAATGAGACACGGAGTGAATGCTTCACACGGCGTTCTAGATTGCTATCAAATGACAAGTTTTTTGGCGTATTTGGAATCGGTTTCTCGTTAACAGGAACATTTCGCAAGCGATATAGCTACGGCGAAACTTTGCTTAGTATTAATTATTTCGACAACAAAGTTCTTAATTATTCGCAAAACCATGCTATTATAATCGTAACTTTAGCACAGCGCGCTTGTTCCTCCAATTTTATTCCCCATTAATTGCAAAATTATTTTGCGATTAATTAAAATGTGACAGAAAATGAATAACGGGGTCCTGTTTGTCGACTGACATTTTAATTCAGCAAATCATGCGAGATTTAGTTGTCAAGTGCTGCAAATAATATTTGAAATCACGAACGACAGAATGGAGAAACGAGCTTGTCGATTCGACCGAGCATTGGTGTGTCGAATTATGAATGAAGTATTTTTCAAGCGCGCAGCGTGTAAATGCTTATTTATGCGTCCACAATCCGGAACCGTCGGCGAGAATAAAATAGACAACTGCAGCGTTTCTCTAAACACCGGCTTCCGCACAGGTTCGCGCATAGCAAGTGTGAATGAGACGAGACGTAATCGTTTGTTGGTGGATCATTGCGAGATCTAATCGCAAATTCAATATCACGTTGAGTGATATAATGATAGATAATGTCACGCGTGCTTTGCTAATCAATACGGAAATTCACTAAACTACTCTCTCGCTCTCTTTCTCTCCTAAATTTTTTATAGCTTGTTAAAATCATTCATTCAGGATGAGGAAAAATGATTGGAATTATCTTAATTTTCAACAATTTGTAATTTGTACTAGGCTTTGAAACATTCGGAAAGATCACAGATTTATATACAAAAAGTGTGCTTTTATTTCTAAATTGAGAAGTCGTGCTAAAATTAAACGTACCCGAGCAAAAGTTGACACAGAATTGCATAATAACGGTGTGCTTTCACGATAAGGGAAATCGCAAGTCCGTCTGGGACTTGCCGCATTTACGTTGCGGTGCCACAGCTTATGAGCGTGTTATTGTACCGTCACTGCGCGCGCTGATAAGAGACTTTCCTTTATTTTCAGGTAAGTAAAGAAGAGCTCGCGAAATTAGTGCAGAGCTTCGAGGAGCAGGACATCCTGACGTCGTCGGGCGTTACCTTAGCCGGCAACAGGTACATCTACCTGTCGGGCACGGATCGTGTGATAAGGGCAAAACTCGGCAAAGTCGGCGTCCACTGCATGAAGACGACGCAGGCAGTAGTTGTCTCCCTATACGAGGACCCTATACAACCACAACAGGCCGCATCTGTCGTTGAAAAACTGGGCGAGTACCTCGTGTCCTGCGGCTATTAGGTTAGTACGATGCTTCAGGTGATCGTCGCGATGTCAGAGCTGGAACTTTATTATGTAAACCCCGGGGCGATTAGTTTTAGGCGACACTTCATGTTAAATGATACGCATTTCAAGTTTGGAGGGGTTTCAATTTTGTGAAAGCGGCAGGGTGGCTGCTTTTAAATTGCTCTCAAGAGAACTTTTCAGCCGCTTAGAGAGACGAAAGTTCTCGACCTTGTGTGTGTATATAAAATTTAATCAATTCCGCAAATACCGTGAGAGCGATGAAAAGGAAGGAAAATGTTGGAAAAGATTAAAAAAATTTATTGAAATAATATCACGAGTAGTTTTAATAAATTAACAAGGTATATATTGGAAAAAAAATTACTTGAAAACACCGCAAGTATTCTTAGTAAATTAATAGCGTATCCCTAATTAATGGATTAATGGGAAGTATGATTTTACATTCACATATTCCAGAAGTTGTTTACTACGATATGTGATGTTTAATATCTTTTTAATTTGGCTAAGATTTTGAAGATTTGTAATAAAAATTGCAAACTCCTAAAGCTATCTTGAAGACTCAATTTTTTCATTCGATTAAAATTCCTAAAAAGAAACACAAATTCCATTAAAAAAAAAAACTCGCTAAGTTTTCTCGTGGAAGAACATAACACGTGATCACAATGCCGAACTTTATATATTCTACTTACTGTCGTAGTCATCCGCGTGCGAAATCAGGCGCAGCGGTAATGTGGACAGTCGCGGTGATTCGCGGTGTGGCGTTTATTCACGACTCCCCTCGGTCGCTTCGATTTAACCAACAAGTTTTCCTCCCACGTCGTCCCGCCCCGCGCTTATCATTATCGGCTTGTCACTCAATACCCGCGAACACTCGCGATGAGAGAGAGGAACGCGCACTTGCTATTGTGCACCGCGCGCATTTTCGCCCGTCCGTCAAAGCCGCTGCTTTCTGCAACTGGAAAAACATTCTTCTCATCAGGTCGTTGCCTCGGACGTTCGTACTTGTCCGCGCTTCTGGAATTCGCGTAAATTGCAGTCGACAGTAGTCCGAAAAAAATTCGAACACACTTGTGGTGGATTCGGAGGGGAGTAAACCGAACGATAAATTTTTCGACAGTTTTTCGGGACGAGATGCATCAAATTTGTCGACTTGAAAAGCTTCGCTGTAAAAGTGACGAAATTCTATTACTGATAAAGTCCAGTCGGATTGGTAAATCGAGTTTATTTCGTCATGCTAATAATTATCATAATATCATGAGATATTTATTAGAAAATCAAGTTGTTATGACTTTTTTTAATGACTCAGCTTCTCAGAATATCTCGACACTCTAAGCGTTGAAGAATTTAACGAAACTCGTTCCAACGTTATCAAGCGACATTTGAATTCTGACGAGGCCTGCACAGAAGAACGAGGAAAATATATAACGCGGCGTTAAAATAAAACCGATTTTGTTTCTCGCGATAAATGCAGGACGAGATTCAACATATTCGTGCGGTTGCACAAACGAGCGCTTTGTCAGCTCAGATATTGCGCGCGCTGCTCTTGTATCGCGAGCGAATACAGGCAGGGTCGGTCTGCACATATGTAGACAGCGATTGCTTATGTATACGAGCGAGCGCGTACATATATCGTGTTGCGACAATTGGAAAACGATACGGAGCGTCGCGCGAGGAAACACGGAGCACCCTACGAATGGCACGGTGGCACAGTGAAGTGCAATCGAATCAATCTAACGAATCGTCGAATTTTCAGCGTTGCATCATTGTAGATTGTACCACAAGGGAGTCTGTCGCTTTGCTAATAATTCTATCGTGAACGAACACTTAATCGAGCGCCGCTTTCATCGAGCTTTTTCAACTTTCGCATATCTAATGGGATTTCGAAGCCGAAAGTTCAACGCTGAGCAATATTTAACGAGCTTTGTAATATCTGCTGTCGCGACTGACGAGTCGCGTCGATTAAGACGAAGTCGTCGAACGTGATTTTTCCACGTGGACGTCATCGTCGCTTCGTCATTCTTCACGAGATCGAGCAGAGTGAATGATTTTTCGTGACACACGTAACCCGGCGACGCGGCGCAGCTCTCCACGTGTGACTCACGCGGATAATTCTCGACGAGCGTTTCAGCTCGCTATCAGCTAACGACGATGACTAATCACGACGCACTTGCGTATTCGCTTCGGTCGCTTCAGCGGCATTACGGCGTTCAACATTTTTTTTTCTGTGAGAAGCGACCGAGACGAGACGTGTTGCTTTTGTTCGCGGATAATCTGCTTAATTGCTCTCGCGTGCTCTACACATCTGTCTCTTTACTGAAAATTGTAACCAAATTAACGATTGAAATAACTGTAGCATTCGCTCTCAGCTCGAGTAACGAAATAATGATAAACGCGAGACCGCTGAATTTGCCGTAGGAGCGAATACGCGCGGGGACGAGTGTAGACTTAAATGGCATCGCGCGATTACGTCCGCAGCCGACTAACCTGCGTCCTAAACCTGTTTTCTGTTACAGTAACCTCTGGGACCCAACACAAATATTAATAATAAACGATACGGTCGATTATTTTAATGAACAGCGAATGGAATGCGCCATGCCGCACGAGTCGCGCCGGAACTGCCGCAAGCCCTGCCGCGCGACCCACGATGAAGAAGCAACAACAAACACAGACAACAAGAGAAAATACCATTTACCGCTCCAGTCATCATTCTCTCCTCTTCGACCTTTTCTTTTTTCCCCGACGCGGTGTAGAGAACGAAAGGAAAGGCAGGCGCGAGTCCACGTCGAGTACACGCGCGCATCATACGTAAACAACGACGCATCCCCTTCCCACCTTCCCTCCTCTCGCTTTTCCCCTCAAGCTTACACACGTATACAGCCGCGTTGTTCTCTTGTACCCTCCCCCGAAAAACTCTTTCCTCGCCAAAGCATGTATACGTACTTAAGAATCTACGTGCAAATCTCGTAGGCGCGTGTACTCGTGTCATGGTGCGACGCGTCAGAGTGTCTGGATAACGCGGGAAACGTCGATGCAACTATCGATATCCATGCCATTTTGCCACATCTGTGCTCTCTAACGCTCCCCAAACCAACCCTTCCCTGGGCGCGCGAACAACGCGGGCGTCTCACACGGCCGTCTGCGACGGGCGAAACCGCGAGATTGCGATTCGAGCGCGGAGCGTCGCGACGGGAAGACGACGGAAATCCGATGGCGGCGCGACGACGATTGACCGATAACCGCCGTCGCCGTGCCTCGCGACGCCGCGTCGTCACGCGACGGCATCGACTGCGGATCTCGACGCCTTTAGAGTTTGCGAGCGGTTCTTCGACCGAAGGAAAGCGAAGCGCGGCGGGCTGTGACGCGCCCGACGATCCTTCACGCCGATCATTTCGATTATGTGGCGATCCGGGGGTGGTAATAAAAGGTTTTTAAAAACTCTTAGTCTAAGTTAGAAATTCCTAAATCTTTTTACAACGAAAGGAAAGTTAGTTTTAGGAGAGCGAAAAATTGCAATGGATCGAAACGCGCGTCACAATTCGTCGCGTGGACAGCTTTGAGTGCTGGGACGCCGCGTCCTCCTTCAGTTTTCGCGTTTGGCTTCTTCGAATGACGGCCGGTCGCTTTCGCGAGCATTAATCTCCCGGTTCCTCGCAGATGATCGCGCTTCGTCGCAATTCGAGGAACGTTCGCGGAACGAGATATGATCGCCGACGCGACCGGTCTTGTCTCGCATTGCATATTTGACACATATAAATTCGCTTCATTCACGCACCAGCTTTAAAATCGCACGAAGAACCGCATATCGACGATCGATCGACGAATATCGGAGAGAGGGAGAGAAAGAAAGAGAGAAAGAGAGAGAGAGAGAAGAGAGAGAAAGAAAGTGTGAAAGAGAGATGAATAAAGAAAGGGAAAGAGAGAGAGACTGCGCGACACGTTGAACTTCTGCGAACGCTTTTATGCAGTGTTCCGTTGACGGAGAGATGGTACACACACACACACACAAACACACACACAAACACACACGGACACATACATGTACACATATGAATTAAGTATAAGAAGTAATGATAATAAATAATAATAAACTATTGTGTGTTAGGCTTACAGTCTTTTTCGTAGGACACGAAAGGGTGAGCGCGCGCGAAAGACAGTGAGAGTGAGAGAGAGTGAGAAAGAGAGTGTGAGAAAAAGAGAGCGAGAGAGGAAGAAAGAAAGAAAGGGAGAGAAAGATGACTGCTAAAGAGACTGAAAGAAAAAGAGAGTGAATGCGAGGGATGTTTAGAGTAAAAGTGAGAAAGAGAAAGGAAAAGAGAGACAGCGCGAATGAGAGAGGCGGTGTGAAAAGAACGGCGCTGTCGATGTGTAGTATTGATAGAAAAAAAATCATTCAATTCTTTTCCTATCGTTGTTAAATATCGGCCGTTCACTATCCTCGTCTCCCTCATTTGCGCTGTCAAGAAAATAAGCGGACGGGCGGATGTAGAGAAAGGACGAGTGAAAGGAGGAGAGAGAAAGAGAGAGAGAGAGAGAGAGAGAGAGAGAGAGAGAAAGAAAGAAAGAGAGAAAGTGAGAGAAAGAAAATCGCAAAAAAAAGAAAACACCCACACCAGCATATATATATATAAATACATACATACAAACACACATACGACAGTCGCATTTACGCGTGAATAGAGAAGTTTTACACGGCAGATGTATTCGCAGGTATATCGATAGCGGGATTTTTCGAGGAGAGATTCGTCGTATGAGCCTAAATAGCAGCGATTCGTGTGTCAGCGTGAAAAAAATCTTTTGACGATAGCAGCGTATAACAAGCGAGTAAAATCCCCCCCCTTCCCCCCTCCGATTAGTTTGTGTTCGCCTTACGTAAGAATAGCGGTCTGATTTCAATGTGCAACGCTGAAACGTTATTGAGACCTAATGTTTCGCAATTACAGCAGAAAAGATACTTCACTGTTTTTATATATTAAATATTAATATAAAATATATTAAATTCTCTAACACAGTTTGATACTTACACGAACCATCCTTTTGTCGAAAGCGAGGGGCGATGCATCTATTTCCCTGTCCGAGACGACTCCCGTCGCTTATCGTCGCATCGACAGAAGACGCCGACATTGAGTTATCAGCGGAAGCTTCTCCATCCTGCTTCTCCCTGCGACGACGTCAGATAACGATTTTGTGCATGATACTCGCGGCGATATTGTTTTCGCTAGAATAATGGTCGGGGAATCGCATTAATCGCTCTAATCAACACTCTTATCCACCTGTTACGTCCTCCTTATCTTTTTGTTTATCCGCCGACGTCAGCGTCGTCCCATCTTTCGCCGCGCTCTGCATCCCTTAAATCGATATATTCGTGAACTTTCAAATAGGGGAAGAAAAAAAAAAAATGAAATACACTTTGCGGCAAAATCTAATTTTTGGCGCGGCGGAAAGAGAGTTTCTCTTGCACGCAAGAATAAATCGTAGATGAGCGACGGTGCACCTGCGAATTCCTGCCGTGTATCCGAATTTCGCATTTGCCTGTGCGCGCGTATTTATCGATGCATGGAGGATAACCGTGTACACACATTCAAAACACACGATACACACACATAGAAGACACGATACTGCTACCAATTATTACTATATTACTATTACTCTACTGCTACTATTATTACTATAATTGGTTGCTTGTCGATTCGTCTGACGCCAAGCAGCGGCCCAAACTACTATGTAACAATTTTTATTGATAACAAAAGAAGGAATAAACATTGAAGTAATAATTGTAATAAAAAAGGAAAAAAAAAGGAAGACAAAAAATAACTCCTAGGCATCGTCTAGGCATTTTAATATCGATATCTCGCTCTTCCGTGACTCTATTTCTGCGTTTCCTAACATTCGGGTTGACGATACAAACGTTCTTTTCCTCCCATCGCCGGACTTGAATCGATTAATCTACTTTTTCTTTCCAAGGCAAAAAGCAGAAGGAGACAAAAGACGGTATTTTACCTTCATTTACTTGATGGCTTTGAAAGTCTAATAGAACCTTCATTTTATTCCAGCGAAATAAAAATATATTTTTTCCACTTTTTCTTCTGCATTCTTTTGACGCGTTCATCTTTCACTTTGCACTCTTGATCTGATGAAAATGAATGATGGTAGGGCCTACGTTACCACAAAAGCTATGCTAATAGACTATTACTCATATGAATGAATATGTACACAAATTTTGTAGGACGGAAACTCTACTTTTGTCGTACGAAACAAGTCTCTTTCATACCTTTTTGCGTCGCGAAGAGCTGAAATCTAACACGACTTGTATTATCCGGCGAGAGGAAAGAACGTTGGTAGGACCGCGGAAAGGGAGGCGCAAGAAAAAAGATGCACTTAAACACGCGAGATGAGAGAAAAGAGAGAGAGAGAAAGAAAAAAAAAAGGGTCAACGAGAAAGGGGCAACGAGCTACATGCGCGCCGGACAACTAGATGTAACTTTTGTAAAGTCGAAATACATATACTTCCTCTTAAGGTTCTTTTGCATACGTTGATGAGAAAAAAAACATACAACCAAACGAAGCGAAATTGTGTTTGAGAGAGTAATAAATTTGTATAAAGTGGTGTAAGAAAAGAAATCACGGCGTTTGATATTTGCGTTTAAATGCGAGCGCTCTAACGAGTCGCTGATAATCGATGCGAAACGCGAACGTGACCGCACCAGTTAGACGAATTGAAGCGCAACCAAGGTAAGTACGATGTTCAATTTTTCTTCGTGAAACTGCTAACAGGATAGAAATATATATTTAGAAAACTAACGTTCGATAAAATAACATGTTCATATTAAAGTAATAAAAGTAATGAGCACATTAGAATAAAATGTAATAGAAAATAAGAAAAATTATCCGCAGGGAATTTATAAATATCTCCGAATTATCAGGCAGGAACAAGTGTCTCTACCGATCCGTTTTAGAGATATAAGTCTATTGTTTTTATCGACGGAAATTGCGGCACAGCATTTCCGCGAAGGAGTACCGCATTTCCGCGCGAGTCGTTATTTTACGTCATAAATAAGCCACGTTATTTCCTTCTATTTTATATACCAATGTTGTTATAAATAGCCATAAGTATCTGCACTGAAAGAAATTTTATTTAGGATAAATGTAAAATAAAGAAAAGGATATTAAAAAAAATATTACAAAACAGAAAAAGCTTCGTCAGTCGGAAATATTAGACTGTCAATAGAAGTAATATTATTACTTCTATTTATAAATTTTATAGAATAATATATAATAGATAGTAAAAGATAATATTATTACTTCTATTTGAATTTTCAACTTCAATTCGTTTTTTCATTCCACGAAATAACGAAGCCTTTTGCCTGTTTCGTAGAGATGTAAATTAGAAAATTAATACAATACTTACAAGTAGCTGTATATTCTTCTATAAGAGTCTACAAAATATTCCGTTTCGAAATATGCCGTGTGATTTTTAAATGGGAGAGGATCAGGGTCAGCTACTTTCATTTTCGTATCATTTTGGCACGTCGAAGACGTTACACGTTATTTCGCAATTGCTTGATATCGCCGTCGACTGGCGGTTTTATCTGCTTGCCGATTGCATCCGCTAACAAATGCGTAATCCGCCATTAGAATAATATACGCAAGATGTTAAGAACAGATGGAAATCCGATCATAATAAATTTATTAGCAACAACACCTCGATCCGCCGAGTGCGAATAAATACACGTGGTTAGTTCTAAAAATGTCGATATATTTATATATCCTTCCCTCCTCTCGGGGGGGGGAGAGGGGATAATTCCAATAACTTCGGCTTATACAAATTCATCGGGGCAGTATTTTCGTCGGTGTTTAGGCACCGATGCATCGGGCGCTCGATCTCGCCGGATTTCGCTCGTCCGAGATTTTTGCACGTCGCAGGAGTCGGTCGCGTGTCCCTTCGAAGTGGTAAATCGATTTTGTACTAGATCCTCGAACGTGAAAGCCGAGTCAGCTCGCAATGTCATTTGTTCGTCCCGTTACTTCATCCATTTGTCAAGTCCATCTGCGTATTACTTTGCTAGGAAAAATCGAATGAGATGAAACGCCTTTTTACAATCAAACGGTGGTTTCGTTTTCCTGAAAAATCAGTATTCTAGCTTAATAATCTTGTCACGATGCCTCTTTTGAGAGTAACTTCTTCTCTTTTGACGGAATTTCGTTTTTTTTTTTTTTTTTTTTTTCGGTCGCCGGCAAAGATGAGCGCTCGATCGGACACATCATAGCCTGAACAATATCGTAGCGATACATGTGCGTCGATACGCGTTGTAATTTTAACGCTGAGAATTACACCTAGATAATGTAGGCGAGATAAGTTACGAGAGCACGTATAATACAATATATTATATATATATTTATATATATAGATTTCTCCTCTTATCGTGAACGTTGTGTACGTGTATATATACGGTGAGTATAAGTGTGCGCATGTGGAATTCCAAAATTTATATAACATAACGAGGACGCGCGAAAGTCTCCCCAAACCGTACTTTGCCGCATCTCGAACATGCGAGACGCATAATTTCTTCCCGTCGATGAAACGCGAAGCGTGGTGGCTTCCAAAAGGCGTCCCGACGGCCACGCTTAGCTTCGCCGAGGATCGTCGTGACGCTCGGTAGATCTTGATGTTCGTTGTGGTGGAAATTGGAGCTACTTTCGCCGAGTCGCTTTGTAACTATGGATCAGGTGTATCCTAAGATTCGCGATCCGACACCATCGCTTCGAACAGAATGCATTTGAAACGAAGAGAAACATCGATCTGCAATTTTATTGAATTAAAAATTTTATTGAAAAAAAATTTCAATTGATTTATAAGTATTAATATTGACTACGGGTTTCATTCCGATCGATTAACATTCGAGAAACAAAGTCGCCTTCGAGATGGTGTCAGCGCGTGGATCTTCGTATATAAGGCATGTGGTTTGGTGCTTAGCTACTACTCCTATTATTCCGATTTTTTCCCTATTTCCTTCTTCCGAAGGACTTGAACGTCGGCTCTCTTTCGTGCTCCTGTCTCCGTGCGAAAATTGCTATGTCCGCGGAAAAAAAAAAAAACGCTCTCTTCCAGCTGCAGCCGGATTTGTCGCGGCGAAACGTGATGTGAAATGACGACGAGAATCACGACGAACGACCATCGACTGTCCCACGATGGGATGCGAAGGTCTCTCTAAGCGAAACGGCCACTCCGCGCTCGCGTCGCGATATTAGTCATCACATTATAATTCGTTTGCTATCCGGCAGACGTGTCTTTCATTGGCGAGGACTGCGATCTGCGCCGTGAATATCGACTCGAATCTCGTGAGAAATCGGCCTTAGAATTTAGAAGTGAATTATATTTTGTTGGAATATGAAACGTGATCGCCGCAGATCGCATTCTACGGCAAAGGGCGTTGAACTCTCTCGTAAGTCTCTTGTTTCGTAGAGATCATCTCTCGCAAACATGATCTTGTTGATCACAGTACGTGACCTCAATATGAGGCCGCTTGTCTCGCAGCGTCTTGCAGATGACACCGGATTCTCTGCGGATGGTGGAGAAACGCACATGCGTGCTTTTCCTTTAGTTTCCTAATCGAGCCTCGGCGTGAAAATAAACTAAGAGACAAACAGCGGCACCGAAATCGAGGAATTCAGTGCAAGAATGCGATAAATCCACAAATTTGTTTTCTTCCAATAAATTCCTACAAAGAGTATCGAGATAAGAGACGTTTAAACCAATATTTGAAAGACCTGTGAAAGATTAGAATGTTTTTTCATAGGCGCCGGTGTCACCTGAATTCTTCCCGCTACATATTTTCATCTCTCAATCACTCGGACTTTTTCATAATTCAGATATTGAATTGGCAACCAACAATCTTGATGGAAAACTTATTTTTATTCACTGATGATTTAATTTTCACCCTGCTTTGGAACAAAGTATGTCTCACTGATCTGACCTGCGAGACGCGGCAGTGCTGGAGTAAGTTTACGAAAAGTAGTGCGAGATCATTAACGCTCCGTATACGCTTATTTAGATTATCTTTAACAAGAACTTATCGGTAAATATGGTAACGTCGATGATGAGCGATAAAAGCGTTAGCTATTAACGTTTATACCTTGCTGTGACGGATGCTCCGTGAATGCCCATTTTTTTTCTTATTATCCTTTGCCGAACGGTCGCGCGTTATTACTCGTCATTGGTATCGCTCGCTCTAACAGTTTCAAGACTATCCGAGACTTTTGCTCCACGGACAAAAACACCGGTTGCGCCGTAATCGCGTGAGTTTTGTCAACCAGCGCTGGAAAGAATGTAGAAAGAATGAAGTAGGACACGTTTAGTAAGATAAATTATATTTCTCAAGCGTCTCAAAATTCGTCTAACATTTAACGAGTAATCGGGAATGTCAGAGGCGAGGGGAGATGCGACAAATTTCTCGCGGGGAAAAAAAAAAAGATGAGCGGAACGCATTCCGCTTCGGTTGAAGCGACGCTATTTTCCACGGCGGACAATGCCGAATGCTATTAAATATCCCCTTGCCTCCGAAATCTCTTCCATTGATCTCTATCCTCTACATCCAAATGTTATTGTTCGAAAAAAGAAATCTTCGTTCGCACTCGATCGACGTGAATTTTAGAAAAGGACAACGCAACTTTTTTTTTTTTCTCTCCTCCCCCTTTTCGCGTTTCAATCGTCTCTAATATAAGCGTCGAAATCATGGGACCGCGAATATATGAAATCGAAATAGAAAATAGTTTACAAATATACGAGAAGACGCTGGCTGAAAAGTTTTCTAGCTTCTTTCGAGATCGACACACCGCGGGACAATCTTTGGCATTCGACCGACTTCCGATTACAGTCGGCGGTCGTTCTTTTTTTTTGTTTTTTCTTTTTTTTTTTTCTTCGTTTTTGTCAGATATCCGAAAGGATGAACGCGACACATTGACTTAAAAACTCTATTAAATACATACGATCGTAATTACCATCAACATCGTCATCTCATTTTATCATCGGCTCCTTTCGTTTTACATTTTATCAGCTATAACTTCAGTTAATCATATATTATCGGTAATAATGTTAATTAATAATATTATTCTTATTATCGTTAACGCGCGTGTGGTAGGTGTGAGTACGTATATGTATATGTCCTTGCACGTGTATTTGTATGCGTGTTATGTCGCGTCTGCACGCGTATAATTGTCCCATTATTAATAACGTTACAACATGTTAATGATTCTATGAACTTACAATCGTATCAATAATAATGCGCGGTATGATATTCTCTTTTATCTCTTTTCCTCGCATTTGCGCCCGTTTCTCTCTCACTCTCACACTCTCGCTTTTTATCCTTACATTTTTTCTATCTCGCGAGATACCCCACGCACGCGCACACGCACACACACACAAAACACACACACACACACACACACACACACACACACACACACACACAAAATATTAAGTTGAGTATACTCAAATATATACCCCGAATACTCTGTGTATTGAATCGTTTATTACTCTGTTTCTTGTCTCTACAAACGCAACGTGCGTGTTTCTCGATTACAAAAGGAGGGTGTGAAGATTCGAGTGTGATGAAAACGCGCGATCTCGCCGGTCGACGAAGCACAATTGGCGATCATATTGTGGCACTTGCGATGAAAGAGAGGGCCAATTTATACGTTGGCCCTCTTTTGCAGATAAAAAATTAAAGCTATGTTAAAAAACTTTCGTTGGAGTCGGCTTCTTTTCAAGAAAAACTCGATTTACTCAAAATCACTAAAATTTGACTGAATTTTTGTTCAGAAATTAATGCTGTTGCAGAATTCCAGATAGATTTTCGTCGATTAGCGAGAATCTCGTCGATATACATTTGCGTGCGCGATTCGTCACGAGCACGAATCGCAGATCTCTTTATGCGTGATAGTGCGTGGCGTGGAAACCCAACGCGGCGTGACAGACAGCGTGACGAAGACGCGAAAAAGCGTTTCGATCCGCGACGGACTCTCTTCGTAGCTATGGACCATGACACGTTCTCCCGCGAAAGCGACGCGATTCCGCGCGAAATTCCGAGCTGATTAATAACGCTTAATAAGTAAGATTGATATTTCATTATTTTGTGCGTAAAAATTCTGAAACTTCTGAAAAAATATTTGAGAGAGTTTCTTTCCCAGAGAAATTCTTCTTAGAAGATTAATTCGATAAGACATATGTACATGAAATTATGAAAGAATTTTTCGGACACGAAAGGTCAAATTATAAAAAAACAGAATCAAAACAATACGCAGAGACTCACCTTTTTACGAAGGGGCATGAAAAATCATGCCGGCCAAATCTCTGAAAGAATTAGAGAGGCTCTCAAAGCTGTTGAGAGCCGAAAAATACATACAATATACAAAAAAATCGAAGAAATTATACCGTTCCACATATACACATATATATATATATAATTCATTTCAGAACCTGTCGGGAGGATAAAGTTAAGTTAAAGAATAATTTTTCACAAACTCACGCTTATAAGTGTTCGAAGAACGTTCGGAATTAAAATCGGAAAGAAAATGATTTTGGTTCAGCTGTTGTGAGGATCGTTCATACTGGCGTAATCAATCGGACCTGTGGTGAAACGTGTGCAAAATTCCGTGTTTGCAGGAACGCGAAAATCGGTGAAGGGATACCGGCTGGCGAGGGTTGGTTCGCGGTCGACACACCGTGTAAATCGGGGTTACTGGACGATGCAGCAGCACGGGTTGTTCGCGAGGGTCGTGATACTCCGCTGTCGCTGCTGCCGCGTCTGCCTGTTACGCTGGTGATGGTGGCTCGTCACCCTCGCGCACCTGGGCTATTGGTTCTCCAAGGAGTAGTGACGCGACCGCTTCCAGAAGCCCTTGAAAAAACCCTTCTTCTTCGGCGCGTCGCTGCTCTCCGCGCCTGAAACAGAAGCGTCGTCCTTGGTTAGAGGATTCGCAATCTGGATTTCTCGACCCGCTCTGAACGTTATCCATTCCAGTGCTGAGTTTCAGCTGCTATTTGTCTTCGGCGTCAGACGTTTTTTGCGCGAAATTGACACTTTGCATTGCAAATATCGCAAAGTATTACGGTGACATTTTGTTACGCATTGTTTCGTTCAACGAAATATTTGTTGTTCGTCGGAATTTCGCATTTTATTGCGCACTCCTGCTGCCTCCTGGTTTCGGAACACAAAAAAAAAAAGTTTTCGATTGCGCAACAAAGTTTCATCGGGATCGATGTGTGCGAAGCGACTGAAATCGAAAGCCGCGAGCGACAAATTGCGCTCGCGAAGCTGCGTTGCAGCGAGAAGCATGCCCGTTTAAAAGTACGTCGCCGCAGCCGCGCTGCGGTTTTGTTACCGTCCGTCCGTCCGTCGGGAAACACGTTCTTACACGGCTGACAATCAATTTGCCGACGCGTTTACTGTCATGCGAAAGTCATAGAACGTCATGTCGTCGTGTCGTGTTCGAACATCGTGACAATATTGATTTTGTAATATCGCAGTCGACAGTCACATCCTTGTTTTTTATTCGTCACACTTTTCCGTCGATTATTAACAAATTTCTAAACTATTAAAACTTGACGAAAATTTTTCGTCGACGCAAAAGATATTTTTATCTTCAACAAAGCGAGCGAGCGCAAAAATCCTTGCGATGAACTAGCCCCGATTTTTTTTTGCCATCTCCCGGGAAAACAAAATCGATCGAAGAGTAAAGCGGTCGTGTCTGAAAATCGATGCACGTGCCTGAAATCATTGAACCTGCTCATTAACCGGCAGACAAAGGACCCAGCCGGGCCATCTATTTCCGTCTCCTGTTCCATCGAACATCAAAGATGGCACAATGTGACACGTCGATGAACCGAACTCGGCCTATCTCCTATTTCCTCTCACCCTCCTCCTCCCAATTGATCGTAAATGGCGTTGCCTCTTCGAAGCAACTCCACGCCCTTAATAAACTATTCTGTAATAGATGAACTGAACCTTCCTCGTTTGTATCACAAAGCAGTTGATTGGTTCCTCTCTCTTTCTCTCTTCCTCTCTGGAAAGAAATAAACGCGCAGTTGGCAAGGCATTATCGCCAATGCGCTTGAGCTTTACGGATTTCAAGTCGCTCGGACGAGCCATCTTCAAAGTAGGACAAAAACATGACTCACACTTAGACTCCGTATTCCGCGCGAGGCTGAAAATGACGGCGAGATAAATGGCTGCTGCGTCACGGAGATATTCTCTTCACACGATTCGTCGATAGGATTTCTTAGGAAAAGGTGAAGATCCACGGATACGCAAAGGAGATCATTTACCGCAATGCATACTCAATACGAATGCGTGCGCTTTGGGCAATTTTTATATCAACGATCATTCTGCGAAGCCTCAATTGATGCAACTTTTTAATGCGAAAAATAAATATGCTCTTCTCAACGAAATATAAAGCGTTTTTCCAGACACGCTGTGTGTCAAACAGTCGAGAAGAAATTCCGACGGTTTCCTCATCGACCGGCTTTTCCGTGCCGGATTAAGCGAAACAGCGGTGTCGTGATTAATATCACGCCTGTTGCCGGCGTCGCGACGCTGTTTTTTTTTTCTCTCTTTGCACTCTGCGTGTCGTGAACCTGTCTCTCACGGAATCTTGTTGACGTTGAAATTATTGACCTCACGTCAACGTTTTGTAGACGCGAATGGAATTACCGCCTTCGTATATTAATCACGAACGTTTCGTTTTTTTTTTTTTCAGTCTTTCTCGCAACTCTGACATTAATCAATATAATGATTTAACAATTGATCGAAGTTGAAAATTTGCGTTTGAATAACGCGACTTCTGTTCTGCTAAAATGTTCGCTGAAATGAATACACGCTCGCCGGCGAGCTCCGATGCAAATCATTTGCAAATCAGCACAACGTGCGCTGATTACAGTTACACACTCTTCATCGGTCGGAGTCATTGAGATCGTACGTGTTACTTGTTCGGCCTCAGAGAACGTTGTACGCTTCTTCGATTGGCCGTGACTTTGTGAAACGATAGCGTGTCAAGGTAACGTACGTGCATAGACCTAGACGTCCGGTTACCAGATGCTTGATCCGCATGTTAATTGTATGCGTTACCTCGATGTAAAATCTACTAAACGCTTGGGGCATCTGAATAAACTCGAGCAATTTCCGGCAAAGTGCTGTTCTCGCAATTGCCTCGCTCCACGAATTATAGTACTTTTGTTACGTAGCTAAAATAAAAATTAACAGAATTCTCGCAACTTAAAATAGATACAGTAACGAAATTTTCAATTTCTAAAGAACAAAAAATGTTTCGAAATTTACTTAAAAACTTGTAAATAACTATATAGAATTATTCTCGAGAATTCTTCTCAAAACTCTAAAGAAAAATTGCAATTTTTCAGCAAAGGAGAAGGTAAAGCTGACCCTGCGGTTTTTTAAGTATCGTTTTCACTGCTTTAAACAACGGAATTCTTTCTGAAATCAATAGACACGCAGAAAACATTCGAAAAGAACTCTCTCTTAATACTCTCTTTAACTTTTCAATTCTTGAAAAAAGTAGGACTGACTTTACAGAGATTTTCACATAGCAATCTCATCTTGAACTTTCTCTCGCATGAAAATCCTGCATCTTGAACCGAGACAGTCACGTTTGGCGCTAGATTCGCAACATTAGGAATTTCCTCGACTTCACAATATTTCACTGAGATATTTCTCAAGGCAACGGCTATCTGATTATAAATCCACCTTAGACGAAGATCTCGAGCTGAGAGAATCATGAAATAGCGACGCGGAAATTTTCTCGAGTTTGCAAAATTTTTCACCTGAATATTCCGGGAAGACTGTTCCGAGACGGTGATTGATCCACGATCGTTAAGGGGTCTTATCGAGCGGTAAAAAGCGAGACAGAAAGTGAAAAGGGAGAGAAACAGAGCGCGATGTGCTGGCAAGAGCGGGCCAATGAACGACCGAGGGATGGAAAGAAGGAAGGAAGATGGCCCTGCCGCGGAGGAGAGTCGTGCGTGCGGATCAATACCGATAGTGTGTACCTATAGGACGCAGAGACGCAGACTCTTGGGTGTGTCCGATCTCCCGGCGCGCAGTATCCCGAGTGTCCCGTGTTTATCGTGCGTGCTCACCGTCCCGCACCGGCTTTTCCGGGGACCGTTCCTTGTTCCACGGCCGGACTCCTTCGAGGGGACATCGAACCCCGGGGTTCGTTAAACCCTGACGTGCAACTCCCGGGTGGGTGAAGCCTCGTTCACCCACTCGTAAAGTCGCTCTCGCGTGGCTGTCAGCTGATGGAGCCAGCGAACGCATCGCGCTCTATATAAACGCAGAAAGGCTTCGTCGCAAGTTCCGTTTCGCAAGAGCACGCGACACCAAGCGACGGGTGGAGACAGAAAAAATTGATTAATAAATTCGAACTTTATTTAGACGAGAGAGAGAGAGAATAATTTTAGATCTCGAAATAAATTGTACTATCTCGTTGATAAACAAAGAATAAAAGTTAAGATATAGATACTTCAGGTATTGATAAATTACTTTTTAATCAGAGAGCGGGAATCGATTATTCGGCTGACTCAGAATATTATGGCAGTTACCGGTTTCGGGAATTTATGACGCATTCGGAGAGATATAATACCCGTAATATAGATGATGTTTTTTCCAAGTCCTTCGTCAGGACGGTTTTCAACTACGGAGACGTAAGACATTTCGGAAAGTTTCAGCTTAATTTTTAATTATTTAATTTTCATAATTATTTGGGCCACGCTTAATATTAAAAATCTTTTGTCAGAGGGATTTGATTTCAGAATTTCTACGACGACGAGAGTTTAGTCCTTGTAAGTATGTAGACCCAAGCTAGTTATACAGGATGACTTTGCTATTATTGGCCACGATCCAAGCCGGTCAGGCTATTAATATTTTCTCACTTGAAAATTCCACATCTCACGTATCATCCAAGCGTAACAGGGAAAAAAGTGGACTTGCCGAGAAAAATCTTCGAACTAAGAAAGTATCGAGTTTCAAACTGACAGCTCGACAATTTGCATTCGCGCGACTTAATATCCGCGCGGACAAGCGCGCCGCAAATCTCGCAAAATCGAAACTATCGCTATCGGAATTATCGCGGCTTATCGATGATAAGATATGTCAAGTATATAAAAAAATTAACTTGCTCTTCGTTAAGGAAGAAACGGGGGAAAAGTTGCATATTCCTCGTTCGACAAAATGCAGAAGGATAAGATAAATAAGTTTTCAACAATGGCAGAGGAGAACCCAGGAAGCAATCCTCTCGAAGCGATCGTTAGCAATATGCGGTTAACGCGCAGGGAGCGCGATCGTGCGCTCTCGGAAATGCCGGGGTGCACGGACGTGTAACTTTATGCACATTAAAAAGCAGGCTTCCTACTACTACGGTAAGCACTCGTTTCCGAAAATAACCGGCGAATATTAATAGACCCGTTAGATCCGCAGACGGGGGAGACGAAGGAAGCGTACGCGCGGAGAGGGCCGCGATATTTTGGAACGCCATGATCCCATAGTTGTTCCGCGCCGCGATGCCGCACTAAATTCGGTTACGCACGGAAATATATATACAAGAAACTGTACGATTATATCGACGGAACAGTCGCCTTCCCGCGACGTTTGTCCCGGCAATTAAAAGATCAGAGATAACTGTGAGATACTTCAGAAAAAGAACCGCAAAAGACAGTCCGCACTCGTAACTGTAGCGCTTTACATTTTATGTGTTTCTAGCTTCTAAATATTTTTTTATATCCTTTCGAATAATTAAAATTATGCAGCGGAATGCTACTTGAACGAAGCCAAGTTATTTTCGAAACTTTCTTCGGATAATTATATCGAAATGTGTATAAAATGTCGAGAGGAAGTACTGTTTCTCAGTACATGTCCCATGTAAAGAGGCTGAAGCGAATTTATGTAAGAACGCCGCTAATGGCGCCGAGTAATCGATCCTCTTTCGACGTATCATCGTTACCGGCCGGTGTCGTCCACGAGAGTTGCACCGAGTGTCATTAGAATGATCGCGGTGTCAAGCTCGCGCCTCCGACGACTTGCTACATTGTTTCCCCCGAGACGGCCGGAGGATGTGACGCCGAGGATTTAATTTCCAGAGGGCTGACACGCTTGGCTATTTTCGAATCGGACTCCACCGCCGCAGAGAGAGAGAGAGAGAGAGAGAGAGAGAGAGAAGAGAGAAGGAGAGATAGAGAGAAACTCGACAAATAAGAAATAGCCGAAATATTGCTCACGTGGATCCGCGACCGAAATAAATCGGACGGAGAACTTATTTTCTCGCGCGACGCGCTGCGTGTCGCTGCGATTCTTTAACGCCTTAGCGTTAGATGAAGAACTCTCGTTGTGGACAGCAAATAAATTGGTTTTTAAAAAGGAGAGCGCTATCCCAGAATATCACCACAGAAAACATAGTAGATATTCGTAAGAGTATTTCATTAACAAGTTGGTGATATCGAATTCGTAAAGAAATTTGTATCTAAAAGAGAGAACGTTTTGCATATCTAATTACGAAGCTTTCTCACATTTTAGATCTGTGCGTTCGGAAAATAATGTCTTAGCACTGGAAGGTTTTGGATCGAAAATATATAAATATAAAAAATGACTACAACTCACCAGCATAAGGACCAGAGGGTGAACTATTGTCCTTGCTGCCCTTGCCGTCCTTGCTACCGCTTCCTGCAACAGTAAAGAAAAATTCGAAATTATTACGGGACTTAAACGCGTGCAAAAATGTGAAACATACAGGAAAGATGTGTGTATGCACGTGTATGTTTGTGTGTATTAAAGATATATTTTAAACAGACTCGTCAGGCATAGCTACATATATTATATTGAAAGTGGAATTTTACCAAATTCCATTAGAGAAGATAATATCTAAGACATCCATCGGTAGATATGAAGAAGTCCAGCTAATAACAAGATAAACAAGTGCATAAAAAATGCGTCGAATAGACGATACACAATGATTGAGCACAACATGCAAAATTTCGTTTGCACAAGTCAGTGCAAAAAACGCCCCTCTCTCTATATAGTACCAGTTGCGTTAATAATCACATGTCAAATTTACACACGTATTCCACTGGTGAAACTGCAAAGCTTTTAATTATTTTTTCACATTTCGTTCGAATCAGCAGTTGCGAAAAACACAGTAATCGAAGATCGTAGACGCGTTATTAAGGAGTTATCGCACATTATGCGTTCTGAGCGCAATAACGCATCGGAATGTACGCATTCTCCAACGAACGCAGATTTTAAACGAGTCAGATGAATGAGATTGGAAGACAAGGAGCAATAATGCATTAGGCCAATTATTCGGGATGGAATGATTACTTTGTTCGTAGCAGGCGCTTGTCTCTCAGGTTTTATCGTTGCAAAGCAGGCTAAAAAATCGTACGAAATTTTGTCACACTTTGATAGCAAGTATGGCTATCTGCCAAACGAGAAAAAAAATCTCACTCTTCGTGTTAAACGTTCATAGCGAACGTATTGTCAAATGACGCAAAAAATCGATTGTTGGGGAAGCGAAAGTACGACCGGATCAATAGGTCGTTTTCTGCTTGATAAATCGCAGGCCCTGCGCGTGTAACTCGGTCAGTCGGATATGAGATCCACGAGGCGAGAAAGATGCTAACATTTCCGTGTCATCCGTCTTAGAGTCCAATAATCGATGCCTAGCAAGTTCCACGATTTCACAGAAATAATTCTTCATTATAAAAAATTAAAAATCACAAACATTATGATCTACGATTTAAAAATGTTTTTCTTCTAAGTCCACGAGTATATCTATACGTTTGTAATTAAATAAATCATAATTAGCAGTAAATTCTTAAATCTACTGCAATTATTTGTAATGCTAACAATAATTCTTTAATTACACTCGCAATAATTGTGAAATAATATTAACGTTTACGCTTTCTCGCTTCTTTCTAATTTGGATCTACATTTTGAAACGCGCTTTCTTGTTCCATTGATTTTATGTGAAAATAGCGTTCGCCCCGTTAAAACTATTTCAATTTGCGGTTTCAATATTTCACACGTGCACGCGTACTTTTTTCGCGCGAGTGTTTTTGTTCAAATCACACGGTCGCAACTGAAGATAGAAATCTATAAGACAGAAATGATGAAAGAGCGACGATAGTGATCAAAGAAAAAAAAAGGCAAAAAGAAGAGAGTGCGGAAAAAGAAAGATGGCTCGTACCTGGGGAATAAAGAGAGAAAGAGAGAGTGCTCGGTCATAAAATTTAGCGATCAAGTCATAAGATTTCTCTGCGTCGAGCCGCGTCTACGAATGGGAAGATTGCGAGAAGCGAGATGTGCGTAAATCTGTCATAGCGCTCAAGGTTGCGGTGAAGGCCGGTCTGAGTATTACCGATGACATGTATTATGTAACGAGAACGCGAGGAGATAAGGCCGCAATTAGCGCAAATTAAATAAATAAATACGATAACTCCGCACTACGATAAGGCATTCGCATATTTTTCCGGTGTCAAGCTGACAATGCGCTTTTGAATTTTTCTCTTCGTTCGTTGACTTCTCGATATTAGAAAGCACGAGGAGTTGAAAGCGAATAAAATTCCCGGATCTTCTTTCAAATATAATTCTCCCCATACATTTCTATATTTATTCTTAGCAGCAATGAATTTACCGGTAGAAACAATTCTTTTTTCATCGATACGTCGATATGTATTACGCGCGTCGCCAGACATATGATTGGATAGTTCGCCGGCAACTTGTTGGAGGTACGGTATCAGCTGCAATTTCGCAAGGCTACCTCGCCAGGGATAGTGAGAGTGGTCGAGGACAATGACGCGTGTGGCCCCCGAGCGTTGGCCGTCCGCGGGGAGAGGGCGGATGGCAATGATAGTGGTGGTGGTTGTTCACCCTCGGAATAAATCAATAAGTCCCCGGCCCAGCCGATGCATACTCTTCAACAGAGCGCAATTGGACAATACAAATTTCGAGTAGTCCAGTTTGTAAAACGAAATTTTTAACGAATATACGACGAGGCGAAGACAATCGTCGACGACGACGGAGCAGGTTCTACAAAAATCCACGTTGCGCAACTGTCGTTATTTCATTGTCCATCCGAGAACGAGAGAGAAGACAATTCTACAACTTCACGCACTGGTTTCCAATCAAATGATAATTTACGCATTTAATTTTACTCTTAGCAATTATGTCATCTGGTTATTAAGGGCGAGGCGCACGAAGGAACTTCTCGAAAGTTCGTCAAGGGATATCGGAGGATTGACGCTTAAGGAATAAGCGGGGGTCCGTTTCCGCAACATATTGGGCCCAGCTGGCGTTCAGAGAATACCGATGGCTCTCTTTCTCTCTCTCGCTCTCTCTATTCACGCCCTCTTTTTTCCTTCTGCCCGGTTAAAATGTAATGCGCGATAATCAGATAGAATGCGTATGCGGGGCTGCCGTGTCAAACGAATTTTACATAACCTTTTTAAGTGCACACGTAACTTCTCCCGCGGCCGTGCCTATCGATTCTGACATCGTATGCACACTTCACGAGGTCTTGTGAATAAAACAGCGCGCACGGCTGCAATTTCTGGGCTCGCGGAGAGAAGCGCGCGCGCGCGCCTGTCATTCGGGCCTACTGATAAAGATTGCAGAGAAGACGTGACGTTCACGATGGCAGAGATACGAAGCAAGACTCGCGGCGAAACGACGGATTTATCATACATTAATTCGTTGGAATCAGAATTCAGACAAGTTGTACTTGCGTTTCTTTGAGTGGAGAAATAATATTTACTTGAATACCGGCAAAAATAGTAAGAAAAGGAGATTTTTAAGCGCGCAAGAGAATTTACTCGCAATTTTTTCACTCGCCCTCGCGATAATAACTGCATTTTGTACGGTGCGTAATGACCATATGTCGCATACCTATGCGTTACGTTGGGGAAACACGAAAGCGCGCGCGGCGAAAAATCCACGATGGCGATTCCTCGATATCGCGGTCGAGTTGCAGCAGCTGTCGCACGCGACGCGTGGGATGTCCTTAAAATTTATTCTATTTATAGAACACGCCGCCGTCGCGGCTTTTGGTAGTCGAAGTCGTCTTCGCGATGCAACGCGCTTCCCGCATGCGTGAAACTTGATTCATTTCTAGAGATTCACGCGAGAAAGCACTCGGTTCCCTCAAAATTTGATCGTTAAGATATATAATGTTGATAAGAAATACACATCTAATCAAGTCCCTTAAGCGAGACCCATCTAATTTCCTCATTTTTTTCTGTTCCCACATTTTTGTTTTCGCGCTGTCGTCTAATCACAAAGTTAGCGCTTAAACGCTTAGTTCTCGGTTGAAGAAAAGGTTGCGCTTTAGCTGTTAGCTTCGCTAACAAGCATCGCTTTTAGTTGGGATAAAAGCAATGCAAGTGCATGGTTATAATTGTAAATACGTAACGATAACTCTGCGAGCCTCCCACCGTGAAAATGCACTTTCCGAAGTAAAAGTTTCCTTCCACCTAGTTTCACTTGCTATTAACGGCGTCCACCGCGTAATGAATGGTGTTATAAATAATGTAACAGTTTGCTCGCGAAGCTAGCCGCGGAGTAATATTACCGAGCCAAATTTCCCAACCATATCTAATTACGGCGTGATGCCGCTTTCCCGTCGAAAGCGAAGTGATCAGATAAAATCGGACGTGAATGGCGTAAAATCCGTCCGACAATTAGATTGCGGACTGCGTTCATTCGCATCCTTTGACATCATTAAACTCTTCGATTAAAAGTCTTCGAGAGAGAATCGCGTAGCTTTCCGAAATGAACGCTAAAATTATCCTCAAGTATCGTTTTGTAATATTATTCTGCGACGAGAAAGTCAAGCTCGTCTCGTAGCCGGGACTTATTTTCAGGGAGAATATCGTATCAGTGTAATTCTGATATCCGTTGCGAGGTGCAGGTTCGCGCATGGCTACGTCGAGCTGACGTCGCTCAAGTTCTCCTTATCTTTCGCGGACAAAGCAGAAAACGAAGTGCCCGGATCTGCTCCGAAATCAGGTCTCGAGATGAATGAAGGAGCTAATGAGAGATTTGCCGTATTCGAATGTCGCGAAGTGAGCTCAAGTAAATTGAAAAAGTGAAAAACCGCAGTTGTGAAAAAATATTTCCATTAAAGTTGAGAGGATTTGCGGAATCACGATTATTCATCATTCGCACGATTATTCCTTTGTTACGAAGCGATAATAGCGATTGTTCTCCCCCCGGCGAGCGGAAGTCAATTGAATTAATTGATGAAAGATCGAAGCAAATCGGTAACTTTAACGGTACTTCACTGTGATCAGCGACCTGCTGCTGTTCTGAATGTAATACGTTCGAGTACCTCCTTTAACGGCTCTCGAACGTTATCCACCTGCGACCGTGAAAACTGAGAGCTCATCGTTCGCATGACTAACGGCACGTGCAGCGGATTGCCGTGTCTCACGCGAGGCTGAAGCTGCGTAAGGCGCGCCGCGTCACGAAATTAATGGTACGGACGCGAGTGCTAGGAGTAGCGCGACTTTCGACGAAGACAATCTTCCTCCGCCTTTCTGGAAATCTAATCATCGTGTCTAACAAGATTTTCCTGTCTGCGAAACAAGAGCATTCAAGAAGGAACGGGAAGATTCGAGATCTCTCATAGGGAGATGAAACGTTCCGGTTTTAAAGAATATCTTTTTTTC